TAGGTAGCTTATCATTCGTCATCAAAATCCGCCAAATGACAACACCAAGAGAGAAGATGTCTGTAGCCTTTGCATTAAAGATGATGTCGCCTCGAATCATCTCGGGAGCCATGTAGCCTGGAGTTCCAACACGATGTCGTATCGGCTTTCCAGTATCAATCCATGAAAGACTGAAATCTGCAACTTTTGCAACGGTGTCGTGTATCAGGATATTGGCAGTCTTTACATCTCCATGAACGATTCCACATGCATGAAGGGCTTTGATTCCAGCCACAACATCTTGTGCTAGGCCAAGTTTTCGTTCGAAGGGGAGCTCGCCATGGCGGCAGAGAAGATCGTCCAAAGTCTCATCTGCGGCTTCTAGCACTAACTGCGGTTGAACCGCCGGGTTAGGATAAAATTGCTCACAGCGCCACGAGATACCCCTGAATTGAATCACATTTGGGTGTTGGTACAATGAATCCATTGAAAGGATTCTCAGCTCCATGATCAAACTTCGAATGTCTTGAGGTCGATGTGGAAGTCCATTGGCGAAGAATGGAGATTTGGTCCGTTTGATCACGACTTTTTCTGAATTTGATACGAGTTTTCCGTACTCAAATGCTGAAGGCTGGTCGTATTTGATCTGACGGGCATAAACTGAAAATGTCGATCCCTGTCCCAGAGGCTTGAGTTCACATTCTGGCGGATTGCCGTCGACATCGGTGAATTTCAGATATCTTCTCCGGCTGTAGGCTATGGAGGCTGCAGTCACAAAAGAGACAAAATCTGGATCGGGCTGGTTATCATCGAAAAAAATGCTGTCTAGAATTTGAGCACTGGGAGTTTGCATTTCATCTGGTCGGACATCTATTGGTGACCGAACACATGTTTCTTCCGAATGAGGGGTACCGATACTTGTTTCTGAGGAAGTCTCTGACGAATTTTCCATTGGAAAAGGTATGGTGGGAGGTTTGGAGAAATTAGAATCAATTTCATCGACAAGGGCGAAGAATATACTGGTATAGAGTAGACAACTTTCATTCAACCTAGCACTAGTTTAATCGATTGAATGTTAAGAATGAGTGCCCAGGTGGAATTCGGATGATTAGACTATTTCGGCCGTTCTCCTTGCACTAATTGATTAGTTCGGTCTTCGATGGACCTGCGTGAGGTTAACACCCGGGCTACAGGCATGAAAAGGCCGTGCGGCCAGGCCGCAAGGTCTCAATTCACCTGGTTTCTGCCTTATTATTCACCGCGTAATACACCGCCCATACATGTACTGAAAAGTATAGGCCCCACAAATTTCTCAGGCAACTACTCCGCACAGCACCTGGGCAACAACTTTGTATTGGTAATTCAGGTATCTCTGTTTTCTGCCCGCCACAAATCAGGCAAACATGACTCCGACAAACAGGCGAGGGATCATCCGGCCTGGGCGCTCGGCCCCTTAGTGAGGCTGAGCTTTGGGGCTAACACGGCAAGCTCGAACTGGTTGGTTGTCGCAGCTTCGCGCTGCTGCCGCAGTCTCTGCATGGCCCCGGGGCTGTTCCATTCAACCCCGGCCTCTTTGTTGAAAATGACTTAGCCCGAGGTGAGTCTTGTTTGTCACTTTAGAGTCAAACACCATGTACGGATAAGAATAATTACAACATTTTGAGCCTTGGAAACAATCATCTCTTCCCGAAGACCATGGAACCTGCTGGCCTCGCCGTGGGAGTACTTGGCTTAGCTTCACTGTTTGAAGTCTGTCTCAAGCTTTATAACGGCGTTTCGAACGTTAAGTCTTACCCAAATGACTGTAAAAACTTTGCGCTTCTATTCGAATTTGAGCAGGCTCGTTTTCGGTTAATCGAGGAGTTTGTGATCCCCCTGGACAATACCCGTGCCATCCAGCATACTTCCTCACAGCTGAGCACACACCACGGCGAACAGAACCAGGATCTTAGTGCTTCTTGGACGCGAAATGCATTGGAACAGGTTCAAATTCTCCTTGAAGAGGCAGTCAGACAGATGGAGAAGCATCAGGCGCAACCCTCCAATCCAACCACCAAGCGCCTTTCCTGGACTAAATCTTTTTCAAAGCGACTACGTCCCATCAAATGGGTCACCATTGATAAGGATGCCCTGGAACAAATCTTGAACAATCTTAAACGGATGAATGACTGCCTATGGGAATCGCTTGCGCAACAATCACTGGACCGTCTTCGGCTCAATTTCAGTGCCACACAAATCCTCCCAGCGAACCCCGCAAATCTGCATTTAATGCAGAATGCGGCTGAGCAGGCAGGATATGGGACCTTGCGCAAAGGTCTCTCCGTCAGGCTTGCCTCCCTGGGCCAGGAATTGGAGAGCCCAGCCCAGTCCTCAGCTCTACCTCCCTCCCCACTTCATGACTTTCGGCTCCCACGCTCCGACTTGACTATCCAAGGGCCTTACGGCACTTCAAAATACATGACAGGATGCTTAAGTTCTTCGTCTACCCAGGTCCTTATTGAGCGCCGAGCCGCCTTTCAGACCACCACTGTGCGCGCTGCAGCTGTCGGTCGACTCAACGGTCTGGTGAAGGTGCTTCAGTCGATGATTTCCCAGCCATGGGAGGTCTACGACACCAAAGGAGCCGGATCCAGTGTGATGGACTTTGGTATTCTTCGATGCCTTGGATGGATCATGCCCGATCATGAAGACTTTACAGAGATTGATCTGGTCTTCTCATATCCCCCAAACACAAGTGGCTCACCAAACTCGTTAAATGCATACCTCCGACAGCGACATAAACCAAGTCACACCGAAGTGTCGTCCGTGTGGAACCAGCCTCCGCTGGGATCCCGCTTTAAACTTGCTCTGAAGATCGCCCGACTCTACGCCAATTTTATATCCGTTGGGTATCTCCATCGAGCAATAAATAGCCACAACGTCTTGTTCTTCATGGATAACATCCACCAGCCATTCTTGCAGGTGTGGCGGAGGCACGTCCAGAGAAAATCTCAGAGCACTCATCCAATTTGTCCAAAGGCGACATGGGTCGCGAATTATACTGGCCTTGGGAATACGTCGTCAAGCAAGCCGATCCAAATTCGACTTTTGAGCCGTGGAATACTGCAACCGACTTATATGGATTGGGTGTGGTCCTTGTCGAGATTGGTCATTGGTGTACAGCCAGTCAGATTCGCGGTCATAGAAGTATCCGCGACTTCCATAAGGACTTGCTACCTGCATCAGTTGGAAAGCTTGAGTTTCACATGGGCGAGATCTACAAGGATGCAGTATTGACATGTTTGAATGCCGAGAGGGCAACAAGCATAGACATGTATCAGCAGTTTTCATCCAAGATACTGCGACAGTTAGAGCTTTGTTGTGCATAATAGATTCGTTTAACCCCTCATTTTTCATGCCAATACAAAAACCTGAGCATGTTGATACTTAGTGACTACTGCCTAATGGAAATCTCTTTGAACACCTGGGCATCCGATCTAGGTTTTTCAAGCCTCACGGACCTCACCCTCAGCATAGCCACATCGGGCGCAAACCCCCGACACTCACATTTGGCCGACTGAATTGCTTTTCAACTCATCTACAGTGATTTGCACAACATGGAAACAATTCCAAAAACATGGACCTATTTAACTACATTGGAGTGGACAGAGCGAGTCCAGCACAATTGCAGATTCTGCGACCAGTCCAACTTTGCCAGTATTGTCTACGAGGTACGCACAGCCCGGTACGTTGACACGACATAAATCTTATGACAAGTTGAAACAGGACGACAACTTAATCGCAGTTGACAACATTCGACCCGCTGGGCAATTCCACTGGCTGATCATGCCAAAGCAACATATTGCTCGCGACATCGAATGTCTCAGTGGTGATCATCTCGGCCTCTGTGAGCCCATGCAAAGTCTCTTGGCATTGGAAACATGCATAACTAATCCAGGATATATCCCCAGTGCAGGCCATGGATGACGTGAAACGCATTCTTCTCAACTCCCACTGTCCCGGGACGCCACCCACAGCCGTTCATTCGGGCTATCACCGCGGCAGACGACCACTTTTGGGGAATGTGTACTATCCGGACATTATCTCAATTCACCACCTGCATCTTCATGTCATTGTCGCGCCCTCGTGGTTCGGGTGGCTTCTCAAGTACCCGGTTTGGTTACCCTTGATGTGGAAATCGGATGGTCAAGTTCTGAGAGAGGCTGCAGATCGGAATAAAAGAGCTTCGTGAAGATGATATAGTTGCAAATCAGCACAGACAGCTGGCAGAGATGATCCAAGTATACAAGGATGTAGGCTGGCAATGCACACTTGACTTCAGGAGCAGAGGCCACTTGAGCATGTATTGACTTTGACTCAGACAGTACAGAGTTTATGTCCCTTTACGGCAGTACACAGTGGCCCAATTTGTACTTAAGCAGGCCTTTGTCACTTTACACGTGTACACACAATAATTTTAAATTGAGAGTTACTTCTAGGCGTTCTAAGTTTTGATTATAGAATTTGCCTAAACGGAAGAAGTATTCAAGAGACAGAGAATAAGAGTGTACACATAAATATTACACCAAGGTCATATACTAGAAAGTAGTAAAATTCGAGATGGAGTCTTGTACCGAGCCACATATATTGTATTGTCTCCATAGTGAAGAAACTGGCATTGCCGATCACCGATAAGGAACTGGAGTACGGGGTGGGTCAACTATGTAGTAGTAGTAAGTCAACTTTAGAAGTTGACTCTCCACTCACCGAGAAAGATACAAAGTATCAAACAGAGGACATCCTCGTATAAGGTTGAAACCAGAACTCTGAAGATTCCGAGGGGATATCAGAACTGGTTGGTGAAATGCAGGTACAGAAACGGGAGAGATCGACCCAGATCACGTGCAGAGGCGTCATCAAGTGATCTCCAACCTTCTCCTCTCTCCAACTCCAACTTGAAATCTGCTCTTGTTTCTTGCCTGATCGTTTTGCACATACATACAAAACACTTCTACCGCTATACTCCGACGATACTCTCAGTTATGAAGTTCTCACCGGCCAGCTTCCTGGTACTGGCGGCTCCCCTCGTCAATGCCGCCGCCTTCTCCATCTTCGACCCTACGCAGGTGAGCCTCAAGGCTGGGGCCACCGAGGAGTTCCCAGTCGAAGGAGACAACCCTCTCAAGTACTGCGCCAAACCGACCGATTACAAACTGGAGATCGAGTCGGTAGATCTCTCACCGAACCCTCCTGAGGCGTACGTTTATACATGATCTCCAACTTCACATCAAGAACTAACATTCTGGGTTTGTCTCTAGGGGAACGAAATTGCAAATCCGCGCCGAGGGTACTATCCTCGAGAGGATCGAAAAGGGTGCCACTGTGAACCTTGAGGTCAAGTGGGGCCTTATCACCCTGATCAAACAGACAGTCGACCTCTGCGACGAACTCAAGAACGTTGACCTCGAATGTCCGCTCGAAAAGGGCAAAATGGTCCTGACAAAGGAGGTTGATTTGCCCAAGCAGATCCCACCTGTACGTCTTCTCCCCCAGTCTCAAAGACACACGCTGACACACCTCCAGGGCTCGTACTCCGTCCTCGCTGATGTCTACAACCAAAAGCAACAGCAGGTCACTTGCCTTAAGGCGGATAACATCAAATTCCACATCTGATTTTGCCCAACTAACGCATTGCTTCGCATCCATCCACTGGGTGGCCACTTGTTTGCTTGATTGCCAACGTCCTGAGCTCTATAATCGATTCTTGGACATCAGCTGCTCTTACTCTATCACACGCCCGTTTCATGACCCTTTGACTTTATCATCGCTTGCTCCGAGTTTTATAACGCTTCACAGTGCACCGTGATATGATTGTGCCCTTACTCGTCATTATGTTGCATTGATTTTACTGATTTGAATATTTCGGCTGTTTCGTTTCAATATGCGCTAAATCGACCTGTAAATCCAACAGGTCTAGATATGACCATAATATACACCCCACGGGAGTTTTGCCCCCATTTGAGCCTTGTGAGAGGGACTGAGAAGAAACTTGTAGGTAAATGTATGTGAAGGGTTAAGGTGCAACTTAATTACAGCCACGCTGGGTATCTTCCCTGTCCGATAGTTCCTCTCGGCTCATTCAGTCCAAATCAAAGATGTAGCCGGTCTACCACTCCCGGTATCATGTATGCTAGAGCCGAGATCGTATCGCGTTCCACATGCAGTCAAATCCAGCAGTGTAGTTCCCAGTCCAATGACCAAGAAAACGATATGTGTCATATCTATTCTCCAAAGAGACGGCGCACACGCTTGAGCACGCTGTCCTTCTCGGGGTCATACGGGTGATCCTTGCTAGGGATCTCGAGGATAGCGGGGAAAGGATCGGTGAAGGCATCAACCTTGTGCCGAATGCGCTCGGCGACCTATGTTTCACAAGCGATTAGCGACCATATACTTGAGTTTGTTTGCATAGATAGCTTTGCGCTATGACATCGTCTCTCGACTTACATGCTGGTTGATCAAAAGGACAGCAATGTCCTTTCTGTCCTGGGTGAATATCTGAAACCGTTCCTCGATCGTTGAAGTCTCAGTCGTTGAGTCCACCACTAGGAAGTTCTTGTCCGCATCTGGCCCGTCGCTGACATGCTATGGAAGACATCATCGATCAGTATATGGTGTTCGGGGTAATCGCGGTATCCCGTGAATGTGCGGGGGTAGATAGTCATACCCCGATACCTGCGAGCAAAAGACCGGTCACAGAGCTGTGCGCATAGAATGTGGTTAGCTGAATGCACGTTCTGAGGTAAATAATTTCCGAGTTAGGAGTCTTTACTCTTCATCGCCAATAACGGCGAGGAATTGCCGGTCCTGGAGTGCACGTTAGCATTGCTCTCGGGGGGGTTATCGGGTCGAGACGAGATACCTTGGAGGTTGCGGCCGACGCCGCCATAGTGAAGTGAAGGAAAAAGTAGAAGTGATCTGAGGCGAGAAAGTATCTCCAAACAGAAGATGAAGCAGACGTTAGATCTGAGCTGTTGATCAGGTCGTTATCCGTTATCGGGTGATTACTAAGCTGATGCAATTCCACAATTTCTCGTTGTTTACCTTTGTCTTCTCTTTGATACTTGAACGTCTCGCAAGACGAAGCTTGGGGAATAGCTTTGGTCTTCATCATGCCGCGCCTCGTACGCAGACGACCCCTCAGTGAGCGCATACGCACTTACCTGAACCCATATGACTTCTTGCTCTGGCTGTCCGAGGAGTTTGAAGGAGGCGACTGGGACCAGCTGGAGGAGAACTGGTCCTTGCCTATTGGAATCGGACTCAATGTGGTGCTCTTGATCGCACGAGCAAACAGCAGATCCGGCAGCAGTGCGGCTTTCGACGATGTGTTTGGCGACGACGACGGTACTTCCCTTCGGGGTTGGCTGGTATGCTTCTCTTTGTCTTGGATATGCCCAGATCTCCCCTCAAGATACTAACTCGCAGTGATTAGGCTTCGTTCGTGGTTCATTTCATGGCGCTCGCCTCCATCGCCAATGCTGTCTATACCTTTACCAAAAAACGACACTATCGCTTGTTCGAGAACTCGATCGACACCAACCCAGCAACACCCTCTGCTCAGCGTGTGCGCGTTAACTCGAGCCCTATGATGATGTCTCCTCTGCGATATATTGCCAAATCTCTAGGAACAGACTCGGCTCGCGAGCGAGCGCATCCTGATGCGCAGCGCGACGTCTGGGAGCTTGCCATTTGGGACCCCTCACCACTGTGTCTCCGCCTGTTCACCTTGTTCAGCCCCGGACACGTTTTGGTATACTGGCTCTTCCTGCCGACCCAATTATCGGATCCACGTCCCAGTGTGACGATCGTGACAACTATGGTTTTGACAGCTCTTCTATCGGTTCAAATGTCTTTCATTTCATCGTCCTACAAACAACAGGCCAAGGACCAAAAGGTGGTGCACAAAGAGGTTTTCAAGGAGTACGACACCAAATACGTGCAGCCAAGGACACACCCGTTGATGAGAGACGTTGGAACACAATTCTCGGATGCCCAGGTTGAACACCCGAAGAGCGAAGACGATCTCAACAGAGTCGAGACTTACACGCCGACTGTCATCATCAACCGTGGCTTCAAGACTAGTCCTAATCCGAATTACCTGAAGCATGTGGACCCAGAAGGCTTCACCCCAGCCCGCCAAACAAACACCTCTACCCCAGTCTCGTCCATATTCCAAGGCCCACCAACAATTTCCCGAGACGGTTCACCATTGGCCCGGGGGAACAGCCGTACGTCAATGCGGCAGCCACAGTTCCGATCTACCGGAACGACCCCAGGCGATGGAGGCAGCCTTGGTATCTACAGCCACGCCAACTCTCCCTTGAAAAAGTCTGCAACTACATCATTCGATCGCAGACTCCAAAGCAATGGAGACTTCGTGTATAAAGAGCGAGGCACAACTCCCTTGATGCGAACCTCAAGTCCACTCAAGAAAAGCATTGTCCCGGGGCCCACCACCCCCAGCGGACTAGCTCCCATCAATAGATCAGATAGCCTCTCTCGGCGAGAATCAGGGCGGTTCTAAATGAATTACAGATATCTTTATTTTTTGCGTCTTTCAACAACCTTTCCGGTCAACCCCAATTCATCATACATCATCTGCGCGGGTTCTTTAGGTCATTCGACTGATTATCATGACTGGAAGCGCCCTTCGTACATTTTCCCACTTACAATTAAGCTCAATGCGGCTGGGTTGAAGGTGGTGCATGGAGGTTGTGCACGCTTGCCACGCCGAGGAATGCAAGATCATGATCTAAAGCGGGTACCAGGATACGCCATATACCCATATTCTCTTATTCTGCCTTGTTTGAATGAACTTTAAATCAACTCAATTACTGGAGATGGAGATTTATTTTTTTTCTGGCTATAGTTGGATGGGCGGCTCGTTAGGGTTGACGTTGACACCGCGCTTTCCACCGCAGCATCCAACGCGACTTCCAGTGAGAAAACAATGATGCAAATCAAAATCGAAATGTGACGGGAATCGGCAAGTGCCATTCCAGATGGCGGCGGGCCTGTTCATAGGGCATTCCGTCATGGGGGCTGGCATTCCTCATCGACCCTAGCATTCCAACCGCAGTGCACTATCCTTACGCGTTGAGAGTACTTCTCAAGATACTCAAAACTCTACTAGCTTCCTAAAGCCTTGCTCTTCCGACTCACCTAATTTTTCACCCAACAGCTGTTCGACAGGGTCAAATCCCTACGCCTTCATACACCATAGTCAGTGTAAAGTAACACACTGAAGCTTCCCTCACGACACCGGACCAGCAAAAGCAATCATCTACCAATGTTGCACAGAAAGAGTATCTAGTTACAACTCCCTCAATCCATCATGGCCGCCACTCGTGTCGAATTGCCCGACGGACATCTTGTCAACCTCTCCCCTCGACCAGTACGGGGAAGTCAATATCAAGCATACCGTGCCGACTACACAACCTCTCCTACAGAGCTCTCGGGCATCACGCCGCCCCGATATACGCCAATTGCGAGGTCGACCGAACGAAGCACAGGAAGCTCATCCGGCGAAACATATCAAAAGTCGAAAAACACCAAGCTTCCCGTCCCCACATCGTCCGCCAACAGCCCAAGCCATGAGCCAAGACAAACACCAAGTCCAACTGGTCTCCCCAAGCCAACGACCCCTAGCCACTCAGTGCAGCGGGCTCAAGCTGGATCAGGCGGCAATCGCGACCAATATATGAAGAAGCTGCGAGACCGATTCGAGAAGGATTCTCCTCTCTCCGACAGGAGCAAGGGCAGTGATACCGAACAATCCCCAAATGCACGCAAGTCCTATCAGCGAGTCAGACCGCAGACCGGAAATCGCTCGAACCAACCAAAGCCAAGGGGAACAACCGCGCGGTCGGCAATCCCCAGTCCCACCACAGCCAAGAGCAGTCCTGCAAGCGCCGCACGTAATGCTTCCGGTTCAGAACCGGTTGATAGCAAGAACAAATGGCGCAAACAAGGCGACCAGTGGATTAACATGGATGTCCCCGATACGACGCCCTCGAAATCGGAACACACAGAAACGACAGCGACATCCAGCCCTCAATCTCAGTCCTCGGTGTCTCCAGTATCTGCCGAGGATAGCTCCATCACAGACTGTGACTGGGAAGACAGATTTGTTGTCAACATGCCCTCTGCCAAGGACCCGAATCCGCCTACGATGACAGCTCAGCAGATATCCGAGTACCAGAAGAGTATTGAAAGGGTACATCAAACTGGTGGGAAGATGGCTCATCCAGACTCGCTGCCTAGCCGCAACGCCTCCCCTGAAAGCAAATCAAGTCTCAGAGGATATGCTGAGCAGACCCCGCCGAAGTTCAGAGCATACGACGGTGCATACGAGGAGAGGCAACTGCCAAAACCCTTGCCGAATGAACCTCGTCCAATTCCCATTCAGCAGCAACCTCACCAGCAGATTAAGCAACAAGATCAGTCTCAGTCACCGAATTCACCACGCTCCCAACCGCAGCCGCAGCCTTCCACGCAGCCACAGGCCCAGTCAACAGTAGTGTCCCAGCGCTCGGCAGCCACTCACTACTATAGTCCCGATGAGATAGGGCATAGCCGCATTAGCACTATATGGGAGGAGTTTCCAACCAAAACAAAGGAAAAACGACACCCCCAGAATGCCGATGGGTCTTTTTTAGGGTGCAGGGAAATTTCCGGGGAGAAGAACCCGGACGAAATCCTCATGTTCACTCCCCCCGACGATGCCAGTTTGCATCCCCGTCCACTGGCTTTGGTTTCGAAGAACATGCACAGAGGATTGAAGAACGTCAAGAAGGGCACTGCCCGCAAGACCGCGCAAATCGTGCCAGAGCCAACAATCATACAAGACACACCCCCACAGCCCTCGCCGGCTTCTCCGAGTTCGATACCCACCCAATGCTCCAAGTCGTCGACGATGTGCCGCGAGCAACAATGCCCTGCGGACCCCACGCCAATCCCGAGGAAAGGATCCCACGATTCAGGGAAGGAGAATTCCCATCCCCCCAGCAGTCCCCTCGGACGGTCCGAGAGCATAGATTCGCAAGGCGAAGACGATGTGTTCATTATCACACCCACTATCACACGCACTATGATTCCCACCCCCGACCAGAAACTATCTGTGCCAAAGCCTCAGGGGCTGCGGCGCGCTGGTGGCGCAAGTCAACCCGTCACCGCCGAGGCCACCAGAGCCATTCGAGCAAAGGCCCAAATGATCTCCACGCCGTCAGGCCTGCGGCCCGGGGGATTGAACTCGAAGGTCAAGCCGACAGGGTCTACCCTGGCAGCCTCTCAGACCTTTCCATCCAGCGTGCTTTCAAGCACGGGAAACGAGCAAGGCCCCGTGGACCGAGGCCAGACAGATCGGCCACAAGAGTCAAGCTCAGACAAAACCTCCGCCACAGCGTCCAGTACTATCCGTGGCTTCATCCGTACCTCCGGGTTGGCCAGGTCGTCCGGGTTGGTTAGATCGCCGACGGATAGCCTTGCTGCGATTTTGCGCAATGGAACGGAGTCTCTTCGCAACCGAGCAGAATCACTGCGCAATGGATCGGGATCTAGTCAACGATCGAACCGGAAGATAACGCCTAGCTCTCAATCGACTATTCCAACAAGGGACAACTCGGAGTCGTCTCGATCGGAGAAGTCATTCCATTCATTGCATTCATTCGAAACTGCAAAGGAGGCGCCGGTTGTCTCCGAAGAGGCTCCTCCATCGCCCCCGAGATCAGTGCCAGTCGAGGAAAAACCCAAAGAGCAGAGTTCCCCGCCGCGGAAGTCGGCTGCACCAAGCAAGCCGGTGATAAAGAAGGTCACCCTCTCAGAGGATCCACCGTCCAAAGCCAAGTTAGACAAGCCTCCTACGTCGACTCGGAGGATATCCGCATTGGCGAAGCCATCCAAGCTTGATAAAACGCCCAATGCTCCCAAGTCCTTGGCGTCTGAGAAAACCTCACTGAAATCAACGAAGGTTGAGACTGCACCCAAGAAGGAGAGTCCACCCAAGAAGGAGAGTCCACCCAAGAAGGATAGTCCGCCCAAGAAAGAGGAGAAACAACGCACCAAAAGCCTCCCTCGCCTAAGCACATCAAGCAGAGTCACCGACGTCGCAGAACTTGATGGCTTCCAGCTCGCAAGTCCCAAGGAGTCCCTCGCGCCCAATATCAAGAACGTCCCTGCCGATCTAGATGACATGCACAACCAAGACAGCGATGCATCTGACATCAACGGCCTCAACCCCCTCGCTCTCTCCCTCGTCTTCAACATCCTGGTCGTCGCCGTAACCCAAGTCAACCGACTAGTCCGAAAGGGCACCGACAGCTCCTACACCAAATTCGTCATCAACAACACCCTCAGCATGACCAGCCATTGCTTCAATGTCTTCAGCTGCATCTACACCGCCATCCGCGACTACCAGGCCACAGGAAATTGGCCCAAACCCCAAACCGACAAGGCCGTCAGTCGGTTCATGATCGATCTCCTGCAAGCAGTCCTCTACCTCTTTATTCTTGGTTTCGCGGCAACGCTGATCGGCCGAATTGCGGGCTACATTGTTATGGTTAGTAGTTGGATAGTTTGGCTTGCCAAACCTTTTGCTTTGGTATTTCAACTTGTTGGCCGTGCTTTGTTAACGAATTAGCATTTTCTTTTTGTTTGTATAAGATTGCCTTTTGGGATGGGTGTTCATCAGCGTGTTGTCTTTTGTCTGTGCTTTGGACCTGGGGTCCTGTCTGAGCGAGGTGTTTCGATTTTGTCCATTCTGTCCAGCTGTAACACTAAACAATACCTAAATAAGTGAGAAATTCAAAGATCTTTATGACTTAACTTCTATGAAGCACACATCGCCTGCTAACACCGATGTTCTGTGTCACTATAGGAGCAGATCATGACTGTAAGTGGAACGAGACTACATTCTGGTATTGAATGGTTCGTTATGCTAGCCCAAATGAAATCTTTAATGAACAGACAATGCAAAGCAAGACAAGTGTAGGACAAGAATTCAGAGGTGCACGAGGTAATCAACCAAGGCGTTCGAGTACTGCCCGCTGCCCCGGACCACGAGTAACCCGAAAAAGTCTCGCATTGCGTGTTTTGATGGAAAATGAAGACAGAAAGAACACCGAGAAATCAAAACAAAAACACCCAAAGAGGAGACGTTAATTTTAAGCGAACAGAATGGCAGATTGGTTTGAAAACGCAGGTATTGAAGGCACCTAGGCTGTCCAATAGACCTGGGAGTTCATATGAGAGACAAGGATTGAATAGGAGGTGCCAAAAGGCAATAATTATGTTGAATTTTTGATATTTTTCCTTTCATTCTTTCGTTCTTACTGGAGTAGACCAAGAGAACATGAAATGGACCAGAAGAGAGAACCGGCACCGGGCCAGGAGGATCCGAGAAAGAAAAAAAAGAGAGAGAATCCGACGATGCGCCATTGTTAAAAGAGACGGGGTATCGGTACATTATGTTGAAATGAAAACGCTGTGGAAGAAATCGTTGAGAGGTCTTCAGTCGTGACGCCATAAGACATTGCAGGGTGAGCCCGAGATGTGTTGGAGTAAGTGTTTGTGTGGGCTGTAGAATCGTTGAGATGATGTTGAATTAGGGTAAGGTGTTTGCAAATATGGCATGAGACCAAAGAATGAGTCCTTGGGAGGCCTGAGTTCCAGATGTTGAGGGAGGAACGATTTTAGTTGGCGGCGCCGTTTGGTTCGGTGCCGTTGGTTGTGGGCTTTCCGGCTACTTCGACGTTCAGATCTTTGATGTCGAGACCGTCGAATAGACCGAAGACGGCGTTGGATCTGTGGAAGTCGTTGTCGACAATGTTGACCAGGTACCAGTCGTCCATAACGCCTTGGATCAGCTTGCGACTGGGACTGGCTGCATCGTGACACTTGGACCAGTGCTCGCCGAGCAGGAAGGCTTCATCCTTCCAGGCCAGGAAACTGACTGTCTCGACAATGGTGGGTTGAATAATCTCGCGACCTGCGAAGATACCCCATGTGAGGGCGTTGGGGCTGTCACGGGTGTTGGTCTTGAGCTCGCCCTTCTTGTTGGTGGCGTGGTAGGTCAGGTCGTCGTTCTTCTCGATGCGAGTGATGAGCTCGTCAATCAAGTTTGAAGGAACCAAAAGTTCCAGGTAGGCCTTTTGGTAGACGAAACCGTTCTTGGGACCCCAGCCGTAGACGGGATGAGAAGACTTGACTCCATTGACGGCGGGCTGAGAGTTGATGGTCAGGAAACCGCGCTCGTTGAGCTTGAGCAAGTCAGACTCGATTTCTGCGGCCTCGGTGGTGATTGGTGAGTCACTCCAGGGCAGGCGGTCCAATTTACCAGTCAAGAATCGCACGAAAATGTCCGAGAGATCCTTGATCGACTTGGGTTCACCCCACAGCTTGATGTTCTGTTCGTTGGTGCCCTTCAGGCCCACACCGTATGCATCAAGCTCACCGAACGCAGGAGAGCGAGAATCGGTCCAGCGACCGTTGGGGAATTCATCCCATGTCTGAGTACGGGCGACGTATGAAGAGTTTCGGTTGCGCCAGAACACTGGGCGCACATCCTCTGATCTGCGGCCGAGAGCAAGAGATGGCCTCCAGGGCAGGGCACGTTGGATGGGGGATTCATCTGAGGGGCAAAGGTCGAGCTCCTCGAGGACCAAACGAGTGGCTTGGGCCAGGTTCATCGTATAGAAGTGCAAATGCTTGATGCCGGCAGCAATCAGCTGTCGGCACATTTCCGCGATCAGAGTCTTTCCGATGTCTCGAACAGCAGAATCGTCGTTCTTGACGGGTTCAAGAGCCTCCATCCACTGAGGGGGGACTCGAATCTTGGTCCAGCTTGACCGACGAATGAAAGCAGCGTAGGTTTGGATGGGCATGATACCAGGGATGATGGGGACATTGATGCCCTTTGCACGGCACTTGTCCACCCATTTGATGAAGTTATCCACGTCGTAGAACATCTGAGTAATCACGAAAGTGCTGCCTGCGTCCACCTTCTCCTTCAGGTGGTCGATCAATTGATCCACGTCGGAGTTATCATCAGCGCCCTCGGGGTAGCCACCGACACCGATATCGAAGTGGTTGCCGTACTTCTCCCGAATGTATTTCACCAGATCCTTTGCGTACCGGAACCCATTCTCGGCCGCTTCCCATGTCTCCTTGTCTCGGGGTGGGTCTCCGCGGAGAGCCAGAATATTGGTGCAGCCCGCCTTATAAGCCGACTGCAGCGCCTGATCGACCTTCTCCAGTGGCATATCCGTACAAGTCAAGTGCATGCAAGTTTCCAATCCATATACTGACTGTGCGACGTTGACCATCTCGCAGGTCAGCTCTGCCAAGCGACCGCCCGCACCCCAGGTGATGTCGATGAAGGAGGGACCCATTCCATGCATCCTGTCCATTCGGTCATACAGGTTCTGCACACCCTGAGCGGTCTTGGGGGGAAAGAACTCGAATGAGATACCTGTCTTTCCCTCCGCCTCATTCTTCGCCAGCTTCTCACGGATATGCATGATGTCGGTTCACCCCTGGTGTCTGTCAGCACATCCACTCCCTGCCATCAGAGCCAATGGCCTGTGATTGAGCTCTTTGGATCGCCATTAACATACCGATGAAACAGATGATCCAGTGAGTTGTTTGTGAGACGCGAGCCCAGATGAGTCAGGCAATTCCTCACGTTCTGGAAGCCCGAGCACCTGTACTATTTAATAAAACAACAAAAAGCGAAGAGAAAAAAAAAAGGAGAATTAGAGAGACAAAAAAAAGAACAAAAAAAAGAAAAGAGGCTCAACGAAGAGTGAGAAAGGGGAAAAGGCCGGTGAGCGGAAGACAACAATTTGGCGGGGAAGGCCGTCATCGGAGGCACGTGTTTTGTTGAGCTGCACCTTTTGACAACCAAAAGAGTCTCTGTTCTTGGAAAAGAAGATGAGATCTGCTTTCAATCTGTATTCCCGAGTCTTTCAATCACCATTTTCCCCGATTTCACCTCTTCAATGGGCTGGAGGTCATGATTGAGCCTTCACCGCCCTTGCCCCTCCGTCCCAATCGGGAAACGGCAAAATTTTCGCGATGAGTGGACTTTTGGACTTGTGAACTTTGGGCTATTGACTGTTGACTCGACTCTCAAAATCTACCAACCATCACAATGTCCACCGTTCCTCCTCCTACCGCTGACCAGGACTACAAGTCCACCCTGCTCCCTCTGCTCATCTCCAACAATGTGCTTTCCTTCGGCTCCTACACCCTCAAGTCCGGCCGTGATTCGCCTTATTTCTTCACCTCGTCTCTCCTTCACACCGCTCCACTGTTGCGCGCTACTTCAGCCGCTTACGCCAGCGTTCTGTCTGCCGAGCCCTTTGTGAGCACCAGCGCCGACGGCACCGCGAAGCCCAACTTTGACATCATCTTCGGCCCCGCATACAAGGGAATCCCCATCTGCGGCTCCGTCACCAACGAGCTGGCTGTGCGCGACTCTCTGTCCGGCAAGAACACCTGGGACAATGTCAGCTACTCCTTCAACCGCAAGGAAGCCAAGGCTCACGGCGAGGGCGGTAACATTGTCGGTGCCCCTCTGAAGGGCAAGCGCGTGGTCATCGTCGACGATGTCATCACTGCCGGTACCGCTATCCGTGAGGCTGTCAGCATCATCGAGAAGGAGGGCGGCATCGTCTCTGGTATCGTTGTCCTGTTGGATCGGGAGGAGCGTGTCAGCGACACCGAGGTCAAGAGCGCCATTGGCGTCGCTCAACGTGACCTCGGCGGCAAGATCCCCATTCGCTCTGTCATTGGTCTCCACGATCTCATCGAGAAGCTGGGTGATAAAATTGGCGCTGAGAACATTCAGCGTTTGAAGGACTACCGTGAGCGTTACGGTGCTCAGTAGAGAGACGTGGTATGGATTGTGATGAAGCTACGATGAGCCAATATAAAAAAAAGAGGGGGATACTTATATACTATACCTTTTAGATGGTTTGAATACATCCATCAATGAACCCTCAACCTTGACTGGGTAGTTGCCATATTCTTGAATGAGGTTTGCACTTGACCTCGTAGTAAAACACGGGCAGTTTCCAGGGTTGACAAAATGCCCAGATTCTGATATCAACACTCTTCAAGGGTTTCTTGACGAGAATACTCGGTCCCTGTGAAACATAACTGCTTGCTAAGCATTTCAAAGTCTCCGATGCTGGTCTTTCAGTTCCATGCATGATCCAATCGGGGTATACGGACCTCGATTTCAACTCTGATAGCCATACCGCAGGTAATTGTACGACTGGTATTTCCATTCCCAAATCAGCTCGGATCTCGAAGCCTCGATACACTGGGAACAATCATGAGCTGAGTGGTCTTTTCACTCTGCCTCTGCCTCAGATAGCGGTGATGCTATACTAGAGTCTTGCCTCAGAGTGATCTCGGGGAGGTCTCAGGAAGATCTGAAAAGCTCTCACCTTTCAGACTTGGTCATACCCGCACCAGAACTGAGAAATTTCGCCGAGGACATCTGGGGAGAGCAGCATCTACTATAACTCGTCTCGAACATCACCGACACTTGACTGCTGGAGCTTCTTCCCCAAAGTGACAGGTATAAAGCCGTCCTTCTCCTAAATTCTCTTTCGGATTTGTCCTCTTCAAGTCTTCTAACATTCTCACTTTCTAGTCTTTCTCTCTCTTAACTCTCTTATCTCGTCACAATCCCTTCCTCATCACTGTCAACTTCGAAATGACTGACGATTACGAACTGCTTCGGGCCATCTGCCGGTCTGGTGCACCATCGCCAGAGCAATTGGCAGACAAGAGTGCCTGGCAAAATGGCACTTTTCCCCTCGTTGCTCTTTCGGGGGATGTTTCACGGGACGGCAATGCAATTGGGGCAGATGCCCAACCTGCTGCAGCTTCCGGTGGCCACTTTGCCCTCCTCACGTCTTCTAACACTGTCACTTTCTCTTCCTTCATCTCTTCAATCTTTCTCACCTCGTGACAATCCTTTCCGCGTCATTGTTCACTTCAAAGTGACTGACGATTTCGACCTTCCTCGGCCCTGCCGGTCTCGCGCACCTTCGCCTGAGCCGATGTGTTCTGAATGTTACACTAAGAGATCGGAATCGTGTTTGCGAAGATCTACAAGCCACACGATGGCCTGAGTAAAGGCCGTATCCTGACTATGACGGGCGAAGTCCAATTTGGATTACCGAGCAGTCCTCGGGCGGCAGCAATGAGAACTGTTTAGAATTTTCTGTGGGGGAATCACGGCCTTGGAACAAGCGATCAAGACATTGCTTCTCGATCACGATAACCAAATCATGAAGTTCTTGTTGAGACTTATCGGCAGGAAAGAAAGGAACGAAGGGAACCGACTGGATTTACTGCCTTCTGAGAGAGAGAGTCGGGAGAGGATCTATCTACACATGGGGGGTTGGAACGAACTCTTTACACAACAGGAATCACGGACTTGGGATTCCAAGATCCAACCCGGTGAAGACATTGCTTCTCGGTCAAGACAACCAGATCATGAAGTTCTAACCAGTCAACCACTCTCCTGAAAACAGGCGGGTTGAAGCTTTCCTCCGTTGGATAAAGGATTGTGGTTTCTGCAAAGTAAGATATGTTTCTTCTTTGGCAACAGAGAATTTGGACTAACATGATCTTTTCAAATCTAGTGACATGGGCCAATCTCTCTACCCAGATGAAACTCAACATCGATCTGGAGAAGGAAGGCAAGAAAAACGAATGCAAAGGACACTGGGCCACAGTGCTTGACTATTGGAACACTATAAAGGGTCCAACAATCTGCAGAAGGAGGCCATCTGTGAGGATCGGAGTGGCATCCACACCTGGATCCGAGCATCTAACCCTCCTAAATCCTCTCAGTAGACCTCTTCTCTCTTCGTCTCCCCTTCCCTTCCTAGCTTAGATCTCCTAGTGAATGGACCGCAATTCTTGTGCCCGCCGCCTCACACCATCCGTCAATCTCTTACGTTGTGCTCAAAACCGTGTTTCACATGGACTTGGCTATAAAGCTGATGGTTAGCTTCAGCATGCTCTCAACCAATGATTTTCCTTCTCTCTGAAGCTACTGGACTCATGATTTTGGAGAGTTTTTACCATTCAGCGTCAATCCAGCCAAATCTCCTGCAACTGTTGACCAAAGACACAAATTGATTATCGATAATAGTCAAATCAGAATTCTATTCTTATTAAGCCTATCAAAAATTAAGTTCTTGCGCGGCTAGCGGTAACAACTCTAGAAGCACAGCATGTACTACTTAGGTATAGGTCCAACTTCGGTCTGACCGACCACTATGGAGCTGGACAGGCACCGATTGCTAAAAATCGAGACATAGGGGTCAGAGAGTGCGCTCAGACAGTTGTGTCAGTCAACTTAACGCAAGTCCTGTATTTCAAGGTTTGAAGTACAAGGTGAGACATAAGGTAACCACGATACTTAGTAGCAAATACAAACAAAAGCCTGGGGACGTCAAATTAAGGATTCGAGAATTGAAAACTACCATGATCAGATAGAATATGGCCACATGTGCATCCGGATCTATTTGAAGCGTTTCCAGGCCTGCTAGATTAGATCTTAATCTATGGATGAATTTACGATTCACATCTATCTATATCTAGAATATCCCTAGAATGCTGCAGAGGCATTCACTCTGTGATTGATACAGCATATGCAACTCTCCGGGGATTTCCTAGTGGAGGGTTGTGTTGCACGAGATATGCAAACGCGGAAGCAGGAGTTTGAATCTAGACCATGAGAGTATTTCAGGAATTCTTCGTTATTGATGTGAACTTGCTAAATCTTCCGCATGGAATTGTATTGAAGTGTAGTAAGCCATAGGCGGGAGGTTCCTGAACAACGAGGTTGAAGGATCTGAGTCGAAGAAAGGCCTCTGGTCTGCGTCTGCCTGTATATTTCACGCCCGTGGAATAATTCCATGACCTAGTGATGAACACTAAAGAAAAAGGAAAGAAGAAAGATCGCTCTTAGATATTGAGCTAAACGGGTGGCTTGATCCTCCAAAAGCAGTTTCAGTTTTCATGCCCTTCATGACCCCAAGGCTGATTATCTGCTACGTTGGCTGATCTGTCTCGCCCAAAATGGAATATTCTAAAATTGGGAGGCTTAGAGACCACTGAGAAAGCAACCTTGGTCCGGATACAAGGAAGTACAAGGAAGTTCGGATCTGGTATATGTGCTCCATTGTTGGGTAAATATCAACATGCAGGCGAGATATCAACTTTGGTGGTCTACTCAAATGCATAACCTGAGACAGCGAATGTGCTTATACCTGCAGTCACTCGATTGAATGAAAAAAAGCCAGCGATTTCTTGATAAACCGGGAGAGGCGTTGTATTTATCGCATTTTGGGCAAAATTCTCACTACAAAAAAATACAATATGGTAGAGATAAGGCGCGAGAGGTAATGCTCGAAGCCGAGCAGAAAATGGCGAAAACGCCATAATCTATCCGTTTACCGAATTGATTCTTGTCTATGATTCGAAAACGATATTTGTCTGTATTCAATTGGACTGATAGTTATGAAGGATACACAATGTGCCGTTGCTTCCTATCGCTCTGGACACTACCTATGATCTAGTATCACAGCTCTGTAACACTTGCAATGCATGGATTGCTCGACTATCATCGGCGAGCCATGGTCATTCCGCAACGGCCGCCTGTCATGCAGGTATCTATGGATGTTGCTGGAAAGATGCAAGAATGGTGACTCGTGGTGGGACACACATCCCCACTGATTCAGCCCGATGTCCTCTAGAAATAGAACATAGAGGTCACTTGGGTGTCAATCAAAGCGCAAGCAGGTCTATGTGTACTCTTGCGTGGCTGCCTCCTATCAGCTGCTGCTATGCCTGGTACCGTTGATTCCGGGTTCATGGAAAAGTGTCGAGGCTTCTAATCTCCAGTTCCAGGGACTGGAAAAAGACATCATGGGACTTTGCTAGTTCAAGTAGACTAGGAAGAAGCTTATGTTTCTTTTGGAATTTGCCGAGGGATCTTACCACAGTAGAAGGGACATGGGCTTCCTCATATCCCCTAGGTTTCCTGGGTTCCCATTAGAAAACTCTTGGTTTCTTGTTTCTTTTGCCTCTTTCCGGTTCTTTTCTAGAGAGCTCCAATAGATTGGAAGGGTATTGGGCAAGCTCTACCAGGGTCGAAATGTTTGATGTCCCTTCTTGACCTGATAGTTGTGCTTTTCATCCCTACTGTCAACGATCCTTGTGGTTTTTGAACAGCAAGTGATTGAGTGCTGGTGTATTTTGAGGGTTTCATATTCTATTTCTCCACCGAAGCCTGGAATAGTCCTGAGAATAGGTATAGATGACCACATCTTTGCGATTATTGCACCCAGCTAACAAATGGACGGTAAAACAGTTGCAATTTGCCCTTGCTGCCCTCTCATCTCTTCGATAATTTCACTCCGACGCATGTTACAATCTTGAGTTCTGGAATAGGGCTACGGAATTACCGATCACCATGCACTGGGGATACCTCGTCACTGGCCTGGCTTTCTTTGCCGTAAAAGGAAGTGGTTGGCCCTACGATGAGACTCTCACCGACTATAATATCAACGAGAACGAATTCGCAACCAATCCTGTTGATTATTGGGGAGAATGGCCTGACCACACGTACTTTCCTTCGCCAGAAAACTGGCGCTTTCCTGTATATACACTCTTCCTCGACCGATTCGTGAACGGCGATCCAACAAATGACAATATCAACGGGACGCTATTTGAGCACGACATCAACTCCAATCAAATGCGGCATGGGGGAGATGTGGCCGGTCTTCTCGATACTTTGGACTATTTACAAGGAATGGGAATCAAGGTAGGTCTCATAATTGAGCCGCTACATATAGTAAAGCTTTGCTAACAGAAACTCAGGGTATTTACCTTGCTGGATTGGTGCTGATGAACCAGCCTTGGGGATCAGATGGCTACTCTGCCCTCGATACGACATTGTTGGATCAGCATTTTGGAACTATCGAAACCTGGAGATCTGCCATAACCGAGATTCATGACCGAGGGATGTGTGTCATATTTGACAACACAGTGTCAACGTAAGCTCTCATAACGGCTCCCAAGGTCGGGTGCAATTTGCGTGGAATACCACAGGGGGCTAACCTTGTTATAGGATGGGAGATCTCATTGGTTTCGAAGGGTACATGAATACAACCACGCCGTTTTCCACCAAAGAACACAAAGCAGCCTGGAAATCTGGACGACGCTACGTGGACTTCGAGTTAGGCAACAACTACAATGAAACATGCGACTATCCTCGATTTTGGAACGAAACTGGATACCCTGTTGACGACTACGTTTATGAGGAGCTGACCGGATGCTATGACAGTGACTTCGATCAATATGGTGATATTGAGGCATTTGGCGTCTTCCCTGACTGGCAACGTGAACTCGCCAAATTCGCCTCCGTCCAAGATCGTCTACGCGAGTGGGTTCCCAGTGTGCGAGAGAGAATCATCCGGCATTCATGCATGATCATTTCCTCACTTGATATTGATGGTTTCCGCTATGACAAAGCAACGCAAGCCACCGTTGATGCTCTGGCGGATATCTCCGGCGCGTATCGTGAGTGCGCGAGAAGCGTGGGTAAGGAGAATTTCTTCTTGCCCGGTGAGATTACCAGTGGAAATACATTGGGATCTATTTTCCATGGCAGAGGTCGACAGCCTGATATGCAACCTGAGACTCTGGAGGAAGCATTCACATTAACCAACGAGTCGGATACTATATTCTTTCTTCGAGACCAGGACCAACAGGCGACAGACGGTGCTGCCTTCCATTATTCCGTCTACCGGTCACTCACACGATTCTTGGGCATGGATGGTAATTTGGCTGCCGGATATGATGTTCCTGTCAACTGGACCGAAGCGTGGTATCAGATGGTTCTCACCAACGATATGATCAATGCCAACACCGGCAAATTTGATCCACGCCACATGTACGGAGCGACAAATCAAGATGTGTTCCGTTGGCCTGCTGTTGAATATGGTATTGAAAGACAATTACTGGCACTGTTCATCACCACATTGCACATGCCTGGTATTCCGTTGTTGTTGTGGGGTGAGGAGCAAGCATTCTATATTTTAGATGCTTCAGCTGCCAACTATATCTACGGTCGCCAAGCAATGTCACCAGCTACTGCTTGGAAAAACCATGGATGCTTTCAGTTAAATTCCACACAATATTTCCAGTGGCCTATCGAATCCGGGCGATTGGGCTGCCACGACGAGACTGTCTCCTACGACCACCGCGATCCCGCTCACCCCGTGCGAAATATCATCAAACACATGTACCAGATGCGACAAGACTATGGTGCATTGAATGATGGGTGGTGGGTCCAGCTTCTCTCAAGTCGGACGCACAACATATATTTGCCAGGCTCCAATGGTGTGCCGACAGAGACAGGAATCTGGTCTGTTCTGCGCAGCCCTTACTACCAGATGCAGGATCTAGGAGAGATGGGAAACCAAACAGTGTGGTTTGTTTACCACAACGGCAACAAGACAGTGGATTATGAGTTTGAATGCTCTGATCTCAACACCGCCATTATTGCTGCTTTCGATGCAAACACCACCGTCAAGAATCTATTCTATCCACACGACGAGCTGACCCTGCAAGAAGGTCCAGTGAAACTGGGGTTGAACGGCTCTGAAAATCACAATGGCTGTGTCAACATGATCAGTCTGGCACCATATGAGTTCAGGGCCTATATACCCAAGGACAAATTCATCCCACCGCGCCCCATGATCACCAAATTCTTACCGGGACATGATGTTCCCTTGCTTTCTTCTGTGGCGCCCGATAAGAGCGAGTCTGTGGAAATAGGATTCTTCTTCTCTACAGAAATGGATTGCTCCAAGATGACAGATTCTATCTCGCTGCAATCTACCACCGAATCAGGAGAAGTTCCTTCATTGGACCTCAATAGCGTGAACTGCGAGAGTATGCTGCCAGAGACCACATCCTGGTCTGGTCATATTCCTTCTGTTTGGGCTTGGAGAGCAACATTGACTGGAGTGTACAACGGCGTGCACAAGTTGACTGTGAATAATGCGAGAAGCACCGATGGAAGATCAACACAGGCGGTCGATCACTTCCTCATTCGAATCGGGCAACATGACAATCCAATTGTGTTCACGTCCGCAAATTATTCGAGAAGCTTACTCCATGAGAAGAAGGATGGCACCCTATCCATTTCGCAACACGCGGCTGGAGCTGATAAATATCGATACTCAACCAATTGGGGTAGCACCTTTTCAGACTGGCTTCCCTATGAAGGTGGGAATCATACCATTACAGAGTCACCTTGGTCAGGGACAAAGAAACAAGAATGGGACGGCAAACATGTTCGAGTCGAATATTGGAGTCGTCTTACAGGGAGCAGCGACTATGTCCAAGAGGGCGATGGGGTGAATTGGAATCCGAATCTTCATCGTCGCTTCCCCCATCTGTTCTTCAATGGGCCATTTAATCAGTATGGCTACGATGCCGGCCTGGATAACAATGTCAGACAAGACAGTGATGGGATATGGAAGTTCCGCTTCATGGCGGAATGGCCAGCCCAGGGCCAACTGAACGTCTGGGGAATCAATCCTGATAACCAGCCAGATCAAAGCTATATATATGGAGACTCGAATGGAGACTTGATCCTCGACCGTCTGCCTCCTTCCTCCCTCAGCGTGACATCGATCAATATCACCGACCATCCACCTGATCCTCATCTGGCTTGGAGGCTTCATCTTGATGACTCGAACCTACAATTCAAGCTTGTGCCAGAAGGATCCAAATATGTTCAAATGGCTCTATTTTTGCTACTCTGGATCATGCCAGCTATCACAGCAGCTATTTGTGCGTTTGTGTTCATGAAGACATTCTATCGCATCAGGTTCAACCAGATTGGCGTGAGCGAGAAGAAACCCCCCGTGTGCACGGAATTCATGAACAAATTCAAACCCGGTCACATGGAGAATGGTCAATCCAGAAACCCTCTGGTACGCTTTGCCAATAAGTCCAGATTTCTTCAAAGCAGCTCTGCATTTGGCAACCGGAACGCCCATCGACGTAAAGTGCTGATCGCCACCATGGAGTACGAGATTGAAGACTGGGCCATCAAGATCAAAATTGGTGGTCTGGGAGTGATGGCTCAATTGATGGGCAAGCAGCTCGGTCATGAAGACATTATTTGGGTTATACCCTGCGTTGGTGGTGTGGTTTATCCCGTGGATAGACATGCCGAATCCATGTTCGTGATGATTTTGGGAAACTCGTATGAGATCAAGGTCCAGTATCATCAATCGAGAAACATCACCTACGTTCTGTTGGATGCGCCGGTGTTCCGCCAACAATCTGCCTCGGAGCCATACCCAGCTCGCATGGACGATATGGACAGTGCGATATATTACTCTGCCTGGAACCAGTGCATTGCTCAGGCTATGAGACGCTTTCCAGTGGATCTGTACCATGTGAACGACTATCATGGCGCAGTTGCTCCTTTATATATCCTTCCGGAGACTATCCCAATCTGCTTGTCGCTCCACAATGCCGAATTCCAGGGTTTGTGGCCTATGCGTACACAGAAAGAGAAGACTGAAGTCTGTTCAGTGTTCAATCTCGATTTGGATGTTGTCACACGCTATGTTCAATTTGGAGAAGTCTTCAATCTTCTGCACGCTGGCGCTAGCTACCTGCGTCTTCATCAGCAGGGGTTCGGCGCAGTTGGAGTCTCCAAGAAGTACGGAAAACGTTCATATGCCCGGTATCCCATTTTCTGGGGACTGCGAAAAATTGGCAATCTACCGAATCCAGACCCCTCAGATACTGCAGAGTGGAACAGGGCATTACCCAAAGAGCGTGATATCAATGTCGACAAAGCGTTTGAGACTGGAAGAGCAGAGCTGAAGCGTCAAGCCCAAGAGTGGGCCGGGTTAAAACAGAGAGCTGATGCTGAGTTATTGGTTTTCGTGGGCCGATGGTCAATGCAAAAAGGAATAGACCTCATTGCCGATGTGCTACCTGGTGTTCTGGAGGCCCGACCAAACGTCCAATTGATATGCATTGGGCCTCTCATTGATCTATATGGCAAGTTTGCTGCCTTGAAACTGGACAGGATGATGAAGCTTTATCCCGGACGTGTGTACTCGAAGCCTCAATTCACGATCCTACCGCATTTTGTCTTCTCCGGTGCCGATTTTGCGCTGATACCTTCACGCGATGAGCCTTTCGGCCTTGTCGCTGTTGAATTCGGGAGAAAGGGAGCTCTGGGCATCGGTGCCAGAGTCGGAGGTCTTGGTCAGATGCCCGGCTGGTGGTATACTGTTGAGTCAACGACAACCTCTCACCTGCTGAAGCAATTCAAGTTGGCAATTGACAGTGCACTGAATTCCAAACACGATGTCCGAGCAATCATGCGCGCCAGATCTGCAAAACAGCGATTCCCGGTTGCCCAGTGGGTTGAAGATCTGGAAATCCTGCAGTCAACGTCGATTCGAGTTCATCACAAGGAGCGCGCCAAAACCCAGAGCCCGTCTGCGGCAGCTGGAGCCTACAATGCCATATATGGGATGATGACGCCGCAAGGCCCGTCGAGCAGATCTGGAGCTTCAACGCCGCCCTTGTTCGCTTCGAGTCGTCCGGGTACCATGGGGTCCTTGCAGCGAAGCTCGATAGTGTATAGCCGTGACCCAAGCCCTGGTGATGGCAGACCCAGATCAGGCCTCAGCCCTCAAATGCCCGATGCTCGACCGATCTCTGCCAGTGCGGAGCCCCGTGGTCGGCGCGATTTTGGCAGGAGCAGTGTGGTGGAAGATGGAAGTGCCACCGACAGGGTTCCCCCCGAGGCTGAAGAGGATAGTGATGAGGAGATGATGGCAACCTGCTTTGGAGATGACGATTATTCAATATCTACAGACGGGGTAGATTCTGTTCGAGCGCAGACCCCTCAGCCCAGTGGAGCTCTCACCAGAGAAGCTCTGTCTGCCCAACGTGCAAGCCAAGGCTCACTGCTTGCTCGATACAGCAATACGCCATCCACCTCAACGGCCCCAAGCACCGTAGGCACCGAAGATACCTTGATACCCCCATCCCTCCCTTGGACCGAGCCAGGCAACCGCCTTAGTAGCGCATCGGTACTGTCCGTCGATTCAGTGGTGGGGGAGAAGAAGGATTTCAAGCTGCAGAAGGTGGATCCATTTTTTACAGATAGCAATGGAGAGTACTACAAAGTCTTTGAGAAGAGACTTGAGGAACTCAATGGGGCAAACTCGGACACGCAACTTTGCATCGAACAATACCTGGAAAAGAGCGAGAAGAAATGGTTCAACAAATTTCGCGATGCGCGCCTCGGTCGCAACCAGGGATCTCCAGCTAGCTCAGTGTATCGAGGCAAAGGCGGCCCATCTCCTGATGGCTCTGTCACCAACGACGACGCGGCATCTCGTGACAGCGGCCCCGAACCGAAGGCAGGACCAAACGATGAGTTCCTACTGGGAGACGACTACATACCACCAACGGGGCTAAAGAAGTGGATGCAGATTCGCATTGGGGAATGGCCAGTATATTCCCTCTTCCTTGCACTGGGACAGATCATTGCTGCAAACTCATACCAAATCACCCTGCTCACTGGGGAGGTCGGCCAAACTGCCGACAAGCTATATGGCATTGCGACTGTGTATCTGATCACCTCCATCCTCTGGTGGTTCTTCTTCCGCTACTGCAAATCTGTGGTTGTCCTCAGTGTGCCCTGGCTGCTGTATGGCACAGCCTTCTTGATCATTGGCATGGCGCACTTCGAGCCCAACCCGTACAGCCGGGGGTGGATTCAGAATATTGGGAGTGGTCTGTATGCTGCTGCATCGTCCAGCGGCTCCATCTTCTTTGCGTTGAATTTCGGGGATGAAAGCGGAGCACCAGTCAAGGAATGGGTCTTCCGCGCATGTCTGATTCAGGGGACACAACAGGCATATGTCATTGCTCTTTGGTATTGGGGATCGACTCTGACAAAGGCAAGCAATGCTGGAATCGCGAATTCGCAGGGCAGTATATCCAACACCTGGAAAATGACGTGCGTGAACTGAACCAGCCCCCATTGCAGAGTCCTTGCTAACTCGACCACAGAGCGATATGTACGCCCATCACCCTCTTCCTGTGGGCAGTCGGTCTCATCATCTACTTCGGTCTGCCAAAATACTACCGCCAGAGCCCAGGCAAGGTCCCGTCATTCTACAAATCGGTCTTCCGGCGCAAGATAGTGATCTGGAACTGGATAGTGGTCATCATCCAGAACTTCTTCCTCAGTGCTCCATACGGTCGGAATTGGAACTGTAAGTCCATCTCTCGCCCGCCTTTGGGAGCTCGCCAAGGTGAAGGTATTCTGACAGCTCTCCAGTCCTTTGGATTACACAGCACGCCACCGGCTGGCAGATACTCCTTCTCTGCTTGGCCTTCTTTGGCTTCGCCTGGGTTGCAATTCTCTTCATGCTAGCCAGACTATCGAAATCCCATAGCTGGATCCTACCGGTAATCGCTTGCGGCTTGGGGGCTCCGCGTTGGGCTCAAATATGGTGGGCCACATCCGGGTCTGGTCTCTTCCTTCCCTGGGCTGGAACGTATACCGCAGGAGCTCTCGTTTCTCGCAGCTTGTGGCTCTGGCTCGGGGTTTTGGATGCACTGCAGGGTGTGGGATTCGGCATGATTCTCCTGCAGACCCTGACCCGCATGCACATCTGCTTCACCCTGCTTGTGTCCCAGGTACTGGGATCCCTTGCAACCATATGTGCTAGGGCGTTTGCGCCGAATAACATTGGACCTGGGCCTATCTCGCCCGACATCACAGCTGGAGCGGGTGCGCTTGCGAATGCTTGGTTCTGGGTTGCTCTCCTACTGCAACTCGCGATATGGTATGTCACCCACATCTTCTTATGGTGGTCCGTTACTGATGTTTGTTTCTTAGCGGCGGCTTCCTACTGTTCTTCCGGAGAGAACAGCTCTCCAAGCCTTGAAGCCATTGGATTTATGGAGGACCCCGGATGAAATTGAGTGCGTTCAGGGAACTGCGTTGGCTTCACTTTTCTCGTGGATATTGTGCGGCCGCTCGCTTGCACATCTTTCTCTATACAAACTTGTTCTCGTTGACTGGTTATCTAATATAATGGTGCCGAATGGATCATACGAGGTTTGATATAGTCATGGCCCCTGCCCTGCAGGTAATTCAGAGCGTATGCTCATATTTTAGTTCTCGATAATAGGCTTGATGTGTCTGTGTAGCTCTTTTTGGGTTGGTCTTGCAGTGCAGTCAGGTCCTTGGGACGAAGGCAGATTTTCAACTGTGTTGAGGAAGAGTATCCCATAGATGAAGGCACATCGGCCCCTTGCTCTTGCCTGTATTCCATGGTCTCATTGTGACTCGTATCTTCGATCGTACTCTGCCGCTGTAGACCCTCTTTAGAAGCAAGTACTTCTTCGCCTGGAGGGCCCTGGGGGCTTTGGAGGGAAGGACTCCAGGTGTTGGGTTGGATGGTTAGCAACTGGTTGACAGGAAGCTTCAATATGACCATAGCTTGAAGCTTTCGCTTCTTGGATTGGATAGGTTGGCTGCATTTCCGGCTTGAAGGCAAGGCGCAGGTACGGCCTTGCGAATCCTGCCAGGGCTGTGACATAGATTAGTTAGTAGAATTGCACCATCAAGGCCCAGATATCATAGGTAGTGACGTGAGGATGAGGCACAGCGTTCGATTTTCAATCCCTGATCTTGCGACGCCTGGGTTAGATATCGAGATGCTGAAACTTCCATACGGTCTATCGTTCACGGCTTCACAAGTGTATCTACAAACTTAAGCCATCGACGACGTTGGGTGCAAGAGATCAGGACTCGAAGTTTGGTGGATGTGTCCAATGGGGAGCTAAGTAGAAGTGTGAAGCATGACCCAGATAGGAAGGAGTGGTGGTTTGGGGACCATAAACAGCGTTCGATTTTCAATCTCTGATCTTGCAACGCCTGGAGTAGATCTCGAGATGCTGAAACTTGCATGCGATTTAACCTCCATGGCTCTACAAGTCTGTGTTCAAATTTTAGCCCTCGCTGGCGTGGGTTGCAAGGGATCAGGGCTCAAAGTGAGGTGGTTGTGTCCAATGGGGAGCGAGGATCAGAAGTATGAGTCCCTGATCTTCCCAAAGAGGAAGTAGCGATTTGAGCAGGAGGTGTGATCTGGAGGTGTGATCTGGTTCCCAAATAGGAAGTCCCCAGGTCTATAAAAGGAGGCCTCTCCCCCCCAGTTCTCTTCTTCTCTTCTTCTCCTCTCCAACTCTCTTCCTCTTCCAACTTTTCCAGTTGACCATGTGGGCTGGCCCCCCACTTGGTATACTGCTTCAACTACCTCACCCACCTTTGGGTCTTGTCTTCTCTTCTATCTCTTTCATGGATACCATCCACCACCACCTCTTGTGTCAACAACCTTGACCTTGACATCACTCTACCTCTTGGGTACTTGATGGTCTTTCACATCTTCATTCATGGTGAGGGCCACACGATTAGCATTGCCCCCAACTTTCCCCTGTCCTGTCATTGCCGGTGGTGTCTGGTTACCCATACCGACCACTTCGTCGCCAACCCTCACCAGTCTTTGACTGACAGTGTACGCTTTTTTCTCCTCTGTCTTTAGGCTTCCCATACTTGCCGCTGCCACACCACATCGCCGCCGCCGCCATGCCACCTCGCTGCCACCTCCATGCCGCTTCCATGCTGCCGCTTCCATGCTGCCGCTGCCATGCCACCTCGCTGCCGCCTCCATGCTGCTGGCTTGAGTCTATCTACTACTTGTGAGTGGCCACACCCTTTCTTTGCCTTGTAGTTTGCTCTCCTTTCCACCCCCTCCGCTGCCTGTGGTGTGGTACACCATTTCGTGGCCCCTCACCAGTCTTTGACTGACAGTGGACTCTGTTTTCTCCTCTGTCTTTAGGCTTTGCTTCTCCAATGCCGTCGTCCTCGTTTTGCTTCCGTTTGTTCGTCGTCTTCCATCGTCGTCTTCCATCGTTCATCAACTATCAACCATCGTTCATCAACCATCAACCATCAACCGTTGTTCATCAACCATTGTCCATCAACTATCAACCATCGTCCATCAACCAATGTTCATCAACCATCAACCATCAACCACCAACCATCAACCACCAACCATCAACCATCAACCATCAACTATCAACCATCGTCCATCAACTATCAACCATCAACCGTTGTTCATCAACCATTGTCCATCAACTATCAACCATCGTCCATCAACCAATGTTCATCAACCATCGTCCATCAACTATCAACCATCAACCATCAACCGTTGTTCATCAATCATTGTCCATCAACTATCAACCATCGTCCATCAACCAATGTTCATCAACCATCAATTATCAATTATCAACCATCAATTATCAATTATCAACCATCAATTATCAACCATCGTCTTCTGTCTCTGGTCTCTTGTTCTCTGGTCTCTTGTTCTCTGGTCTCTTGTTCTCTAGTCTCTTGTTCTCTGGTCTCTTGTTCTCTGGTCTGTTGTCTGTTGTCTCTTGTCTCTTGTCTCTTGTCCACTCCATCCCCCCCTCCAATCTCCACTCCACTGTCCACCCACAACCATCCACGCGAAGGGAAACGGTCTCATCACCATGGGTCTCCGCCGTGAGAGCCTCTTGAGGAGGCTGCTCAAGTAAGAGGCGATTCAACATTGGCGCCCACTCTGATAGGAGACCCGAGGCCGTTTGCCCTTGTGGTTATCAACAATTCCAAGATCTGTGGTCTGTGTCGTGGCGGGCCTTCGGGCTTCAGGACAATCGGCATGGTCCACATGATCTTGGAACCACACTACTCAACATTATCCTACCTTCTCATTCCTCTTTACTTCGACAATATCTCGGCTCTCCTTGCTTTCGACTATCTATTCTTTTTTCCACAACATCCACAACCATCCACGCGAAGGGAAACGGTCTCACCACCATGGGTCTCCGCCGTGAGGGTCTCTCGAGGAGGCTGCTCAAGTAAGAGGCGATTCAACATTGGCGCCCACTCTGATAGGAGACCCGAGGCCGTTTGCCCTTGTGGTTATCAACAATTCCAAGATCTGTGGTCTGTGTCGTGGCGGGCCTTCGGGCTTCAGGACAATCGGCATGGTCCACATGATCTTGGAACGACACGACTCAACCTAATCCTACCTCCTCGTTGAATTCCGTTCCACCGTCCACTTTTGGTCGACTTCGTCCATTTACGCCACCCTCTTTGAGATTTCACCTTGCTCAAGCTACCTACCCTTTTATTTCCTTGTCCTTCCTTCTTCCCTTTTCCCTTTGCTTCCTTTGTTTGTTCTTTGTTTTTGTTTTTGTTCTTTTTTTTTTTCCTTCCAGGCAGAGACAGAGACAGAGATCAGTGGCCGGTTAGACTTTAATTGAGACTTTGCTATTGTCATGATAGCTTTCATTAATTCACTACATTCCATTCACTTTCCTTCTTTATAAGCCCAACTGTAGTATTGATTTTAAAGAGTCCGCTGTGAGAAGTCTGCTGGCTTCTCCATAATGTTTCAATCGCTCTTCGCCCCCCTTTTCCCACCGAGTTTACGTACACATAGTGTAAGGACCACGCACCCAGGCACGCGCGATCGTACGTATCGGCCAAAAGACCTAATATGACAAGACGCTAGTCTTGTCATGCCTGGGACCGGTATATATAGTAGCGCACCACGGTTAGGGCCGCCACGCAGGGGCGCGCCCTAACACATAGACTAGTTTGTCCTCGATTTACTTGGGTCCCAATGCTCTCAGCGGGATTGAGCCTCGTTTTCGCGTGGTTTTCACTTCCTCGCTGTTGGTTAATAAATTCAAGGTACGGTGTTGGAACTCCTGTTGTTGACATTGCCGTTGAACATTGCCGGGTGGAGATACATGTGACGTACTCTCAATATTTTGGACTCGGAAAACTTCACTTTTCTCTCTACATTCTGCGCCATTATGAACCTGCCACTTAACGGTCGAACGGTAACCTACTCCACGATCAGTGATCATGAAATCAAGCTAGACTACTATCTACCCGGCGCGACGGGGCGGCTACCAGCGATCATCTACTACCATGGCGGGGGCATGACCGCCGGATCGCGGCGGACCGTCCCATACCCCAGCTGGCTGTATGGTGAGTATCGAGAACCATGACGGAAGACACAATACTAACTCCTCCCAGACCACTGTCAAGAAAAGGGCTACATCTTCATCTCCGCCGACTACCGTCTGTGTCATCCGACCACCACTCTGGATCAAATTGACGATGCCAAAGCCTTGTTCAAATTCCTCGCTGGGGACTTCACCCAGCACCTGCCCCAGTCAGTGACGCTAGACACCGCCCGCATAGCCGTCAGCGGCTTCTCCGCGGGCGCATATTCGGCCCGGGCGGCATGCGTCTATGCCCATCCCAAACCGGCTGTCCTCTTATCCGTCTACGGTCTCGGTGGGGACCTGTTACTGAACCACTGGACTCGTGGCCGACCACCAACATCGATTGCCAAATTTGCTGATCTGGACGAATATCCTCGACTATTTGCTGATCAAACTGTTATCAGTGATGATAGCGAGGGGGGAACAGGATTTTCGAATCGCTTCACACTGACGGTGCGGTGGGAACTCGACGGCACGATGCTGGATGGGTGCTTTGGTGCGCCTGGATTGGGTGCGAAGTTGAACGCTCTGGAATATTCGCAGCGGGATGCGGCTGTTCCGGAGGACTTAAAGCCTGGATTCTTGCAGTCTTTTGTCACGGAGAATTATCCCCCGTCTGTCTTTGTGCATGGAACGGCTGACGAGGTCGTTCCGGATCAAGAGAGTGTCCATCATCACGAGCAGCTTGTCAAGCTGGGAGTCAAGTCCAAACTCTGCTTGGTCAAGGATGGGCCTCACGGGCTGGGTGACTTCTCTGCTGTTGATGAGACGGGGTCTAACAGTACGGCAGCGGCATATAAAGATGCTCTTGATTTTATTGAGGGCGCATTTTCCGCAGTCTAGGTGTTGTAGCTAAGTCCAGAGACTTGGTTTATCTCTATGCGATGTATGGATTGCGGTTTGAGACCTTGACGAGCCCAGAGTCAACTGCAGAACTTTAGTATCATGAGAATCAGAACATAAATGCAGTCCAAGTACCGGAGGTCCAAATTTTGATATCAATAAACCTCATTTCCAGATGGAAGATACCTGTCCTTTACATCCCATTCTGTACTTCGTAAATTGTCTGAATGTCGAAGCCCAGGTGTTTCCAGGGTTCATTAGGCAGTGTGGGGCATTGTGGATGGTTGTGGGTCCTGGGGAGGGCTTTGAGGCAGGTAATTGGCTGTTATATGACAGAGATCCACATGTATTTCCTGCCAAGAGCCCAGGTGGTAATAGTAAGGCGCTCGACTCAGGAGTAGTCGCGACCTCTCTCTTCCATTGGGGTGAGTCGACATTTGGGTTGGCAATAACTTTGACGGAGGATGGATACTTGAGAGATCCGGGTGAGTCCTGCTCAAGTGGAGGCATTAATCTTTTCCTAAAGTTTTTCTCTTTTTGTTTACATTTTTCATTTCATGTTGTATATCAAATACAGATCCACCTGTAATAAATGTAAAAAGCCTGGTTGGCCTAGTGGAAAAGGCGCTGCGGGGGCGGTTCTAAGCCATCCCGGTTCTGAACCGTGTGGTGGCCTGCCTTTCGAGACCCTGGTTCGAATCCAGGACCGGGCACTACTTTTTTTTTTCTTCTCTTTTTTTTCCCCCTTCCTCCCTCTTACCCGTGACAGGACAATGAAACCTGCAGATATAGTATCCATTCCATGGAGACTGATGAATTTACGGCAATTTGAGTAGTTAATTGCCCGAAAGTCTTGGAAAACTAGGAAAACCTCACCTGCTCAAGTGCTCAAGTGGGCATTGTTGTTGTATATATACTTAAGTATATCTTGCGGCTCACTGGGTTTTTGGCCTAAATCAACAGCCACCTAAATGCTTCAAAGAGGTCTATTTCTGGTTTATTTTGAGTGAATTTACAGATATAATAAGGAATAAATAATCGCAGCCACCAGATGTCCCAAGATTAGAGCTTAGCCTTGCCACTTTCGATCTCTGACCAACTTTGCTCCCCCAGCTTCACGTATTTGGTGCCGTCCAGCCAGTACAGGATGTCGCCAGCGGAATCCTTGCGGGGATCCCAACTCTTTTTCACCAGGTCGCCCTTGGCTTGCTTGAATGTAACACCAGTGGCAACCTTCTCGGTAAGGCGGACAAGTCGAGGCAAGGCATATGAGGGCACACCCTTCTTCTTGAGCTCATCATACAGAGTGGACATCAACTCATTTTCAACTGCGGGTGACTCGAGTGTGATACCAGCAGCGCCAGCTTGACCATCATAGCTAATTGAAAAACAGGTCAATAAGGCAGGTTCGTCAGGGTCAAACAAGAGCGCACTTACCTGCTCAACTTCACACCGTACACAACAGCATCGTGCACGCCTTCAATCCGACAGATATGATCACGGATCTCACCAGCACTCACGTTCTCCCCTTTCCACCGGAAAGTATCGCCAACCCGATCCTGGAATCTCACCCAGCCAGATTCATCCTGAACAACCAGATCACCAGTCCTTTGGAACAGGTCGCCCTTCACAAACACATCTCGAAGAAGCTTCGCCTCGGTCGCACCTTCATTGCCCAGGTACTCAATGAGCAAATCGCGATCACGCACTCGGCCAATCGCCTCGCCTTCTTGTCCCAGCCCAGATCGAACACAAAACCCAGTGACAGGATTGCGCCACGGCATCTCGGTATCGGTATCATATTTCACGATGAAAGTATCATCCTCCAAGAACCGCCGAATAGGACCCGAGAACCCAACCTTTCCAGCAGCCCACGCACCAACACCGTGATTATCGAACTTGGCCACGCCCTCAGTTGAGCGGTAGAACTCACGAATCTCAGGGACGTTGAAGCGCGATCGGAATTTCTCCCAGATCTCACCACGGAGCCCATTGCCCGTTGCCACGATACATTTGTGGTCCTGGTCATAAGGGGAAGGAGGCGTGGAGAGAAGATACCGACATAACTCGCCGATATAGAGGATTCGCGTGGCGCCGGAATCATGCACATCTTTCCAGAATTGCGAGGCGGAGAATTTGCGACGCAGGCATAGTGTGCCGCTGTTCCCGACGGCGCCGCATAGTCCTGTGAAGAAGGCTGTGCCGTGGAATAAAGGGAGGGATGAGTATATGCGCATGGGGTAGTACTTTGAGGGGTTGTTGGCGTCTGTTGATAATGGGGTTGAGGTGATTAGGGTGAGCATGTTGCGGATTGCGCATGCTTTGGGCTTTCCTGTTGTGCCTGATGTGTATATCAGGACGGAGAGGTCTTTTGGTGTGCGTTTTGCTGCTGGGAGGCCGGTGGGTGAGAATTGTTGCAGTGTTTCTAGAGTGAGGAGCTCCACGGGGCCGGTTTCGATGGCGCCGAAGGATGAGATGTTCAGTGTGAGATGGGGTAGGTCTACGCAGACGTCTTTGGCTAGATCTGCAGTGGAGATGATTGATTTGGAGCCTGATACGTTCAGGCAGTGGGTGAAGGTGTCGTCTGGTTCTTCGGTCAATGGTTGATTTCTTACAGATGATTCGATAACATACCTCGCAGGTTGGTGTTGATCATGGCAGAAATTGCACCCAGCTTTGAGAGAGCGTACAGAATGACCACCATTTCTGGTGAGTTGGAGGCGAACACGCCCACTGTGTCGCCGGCATTGATATCTCGGCCTTTCAATAGAGCGGCCATTCTGTCAACCACTGCAAGCGCGGTCAGCAATGCACGGAACCAATCAATTCCAAGAAAACGGGCAACACATACAATCCTTGAGCTTGCTGTATGACCATACATTCTGCTCAAACCAGATCGCATCTGTCGTGCCCTTTCCTTCGACCTCCACCACTCGCTCGAGCATCTTGTAGATCGTTGCTGAGCCATCAAGCTTGGCAATACGTTCGCCAACCCGCTTTACAAAAGCCTTGTCCTTGGATATTGTCGCCAGATCAGTGGAAATCGCAAGTTTGGCGTTCAAATACGCTCCAGCAGCAATCGACAACGCCGATGCCATCGCCATCGTGGGGGCGCCGATCTCGGAGAGCACATCCATTGCGATAGACTGTTTTCTTTGTTCCGATATCCAGGTTGACAGACGGCTCGGGGCAATTGATATATCGTCCTATCGCTTTGAGTGACAGTCTTTGTCTTCAGACTCGACAAAGCAGCCAGACGGCAGATTTAAAGATACTCGACCTCGGTGTTTCGAGTACGGAAGCTAAGCAGGCTAGATCTGCCGTGCTATAACGGCGCTAGCCGGACGCCATACAGCAGGAATACGCGACGGATTCTCCAGACGGCATGACGGCATAACGGCAGTGGAGCTCTTTGTTACGGCAAACCCCTTGTACATATTCGTGTCTCGGCTTCATTCCCCGCGGTTCATGATTAAGTGGGATCTTCCCCGGACTTTGCGGCTCATACCTTTCCCCGGTTTGGCTTCCCCATATCTCACTCGGCGGTGTTCAGAACAATCCTGGTGTTGTTTGAGGTCTTTCTTAGTTATACTCGTACCTGGTATCATTACAGAGTCCCCTTGCATAGTCCAGCTGCATGATCTGTCGAATGTGTATGGATGCGGGTCACCGAAACGGCAATAATACAGTATTTTGGCCAATTGGGATCTTCAAAAGGGACCGAGAGATACAGAATTACGGTATGATACGCCATTCGCTGCCGAAACACCGGCAGTGCATTCGGAGTGGCTGTTTGCACTGTTTGCACTCCTCGGCTCGGACTTGCAAGACGAGCCGCGGTCCATCTGATCGACCCACAGCGCGACGATCGTCGGGAGAAATAAAATCGTGAGAGATCTGCTCCCTTTTGTTTTCATCTATACTCACATCCATCATGTCGTCAGCACAGCAACGTTTGAACTCGGTCGCCAACCAGCTTGCGGCTCCTGGCTCGGCCCGCCAGAAGATTCTCGCCAAGAATGCCGATGATATTGTATGTCCCCGATCTCTGAGATCTGGCTTTCCCGCTAAACAGCTCGACAGGTCATCACCTACCTCGCCCGCACACCCCTGACCAAGGCCCGCAAAGGTGGCCTAAAGGACACACCTGTGGATGAGCTTCTGGTCTCCCTTTTGACTGTACGTATCTCAATGAGAATGACCGAGGGCTAGCTAACCCCGACCAGAGCGTGCGCGAGAACTCCAAGATCGACCCCAGTCTCGTTGAGGATGTCTGCGTCGGCAATGTCCTCTGCCCCGGCAATGCCTACGTCGCCCGTTCCGCCGTGCTGGCCGCCGGATTCCCCGTCACAGCTGCCGCCTCAGTTGCCAACCGCTTCTGCTCCTCCGGTCTCCTGGCCGTGCAGAACATCGCCAACCAGATCATCTCCGGATCAATTGATGTTGGTGTGGCCGTGGGAGCCGAGAGCATGAGCCAGAATGCCGATGGTGGTGCCCCCGAGATGTCCAAGTCCGTCGCCAACCACCCCATCGCGTCCCAGAACTCCCAGCCCATGGGCCAGACATCCGAGAACGTCGCCAACCAGTTCGGCATCACGCGTGAGCAGCATGATGCCTTCGCTGCAAAGAGTTTCCAAAAGGCCGAACGTGCACAGAAGGCCGGCTGGCTCAATGATGAGATCGTCCCTGTCAAGACTCAAATTAAGGACCCCAAGACCGGTGAGGTCAAGGATGTCGTTGTCGACCGTGACGACGGTGTTCGCTACGGCACTACCCCCGAGTCTCTTGCTAAGGTTCGCGCTGCTTTCCCCCAGTGGGCTCCCAGTGCTACTACCGGCGGTAACGCCAGTCAGATCACCGATGGTGCTGCTGCGCTCGTTCTGATGAAGCGCTCGCGCGCCCAGGAGCTCGGACAGCCCATCGTTGCTAAGTTCTGTGGTGCTACCGTTGCTGGTCTTGAGCCTCGCATTATGGGTATTGGACCTTCTCTCGCTATTCCCAAGATTCTTGGCAAGTTCAACCTGAGCAAGGATGACATTGATATCTTCGAGATCAACGAGGCTTTCTCCTCAATGGTGAGTTCTGAAATTCCGAGTCTCCGTGTTCCTATCTAACCTGATTTACTATAGGGTGTCTACTGCGTTAACAAGTTGGCTCTGGATGAGTCCAAGGTCAACCCCCGTGGTGGTGCTATGTGAGTTAATTCCCAGTGATCTCCAAAAGTTATCGTTTTCGGTGATACTAATGTGTTACAGTGCCTTCGGCCACCCTCTGGGTGCCACCGGTGCGCGCCAGGTCGTCACTGCTCTCTCTGAGCTGCGCCGCCAAGACAAGCGGGTCGCCGTGACCTCCATGTGTGTTGGAACTGTAAGGACTCTCGATCATTCTCCAAATCGCTACAGCATACTGACATCTCTAACCAGGGTATGGGTATGGCCGGTATCTTCGTTTCTGAGCACTAAGTGCTCGGCATATATTCATTTCCAAGCGGAGGACTACACTGAATCTGTAATTATATATCCTTTGCTACGCACTGAACACGACCATGTGATATCTCGGTACTCCCCGGTGTACTCAGATCTTCTTAATATATTCCAAGCCTCTGGCCAGCCAGCAGCCAATGGTGAACCCTTTCACAGCATTGTTTTCGTCCCGGTGGAAAACCACAGTCCAGTCGCCTGGGGCCGGTGCGTCCAGCCCGCGCGGGCAGGTCAATGCCCATACGTCTCCTCCCAGGTACTTGAGTGGTGTCGCATGCCCCTGACCCAAGTATCCGTCGAAAGCGCCGTAGAAGGTCCCCGCCTCGCCAATACAATGGAACGTAGAGTCGATCTCCTCGCAGTGGTAGACCCCCTGGAAGGGAGTATTCTTCAAGATAGCTTCGTCAGGGACAATGCGCCGCGCGCTGAGTCTCCGATTGTCGCGGATGCGATGAACCCCCAATGTATCCCCATTGATTGCCGCAACCATCGAGTTGTTTTTCGCCTGAGTTGGCGCAGACAAGGCGACCTTCTCCGGACCACCAGCGTAGCTAATTGCAACCTCACCATCGCGTGCACCCTTAGTGACAACAATCGCCAACTGAGTATCACGATCAAGGAACGCCCCAAACCACTCCTCAACAGGCTTAATCGCACTCAACACGGGCTTCGGAATATCCAAAACCTCCCTGAAAATCTCAGCCCCAGGCCCCGATGAATCACCCTGACCATTCAAAAGAACAACAACAGACAACCTCTCACTGGGCGCATGTCGTCTCTCCAACCGATACCCCCTCAACGCACCCCCATGCCCAACAGTCTTCACACCCCCAATATCAACATGACTCAATCCAAACGCATACGGCGCCGCCGTCCCATCCCCAAAAACCGGCTTCGCAATAGCACCACGGTACCAACTCCCCTCATCCACATAACACGCATCAAGATACTTTTCATACGCAATCATATCATTTAGCGAAGCAACCAGTCCCGCATCACCAGCCCACTCCATCCGATTAACAGCAGGCACAAAACCCCTCTGCTCATCCCCTTCATACCCCACACACGGCGCAGGATGTTCCGCCGTATTCGGACACAAAAACGCAGTCTCCATCCCTGCAGGACTGAGAATACGCTCTTGAAGCAATTCACCCAACGGCCGACCTGTTACGCGTTCCAGTGCCAGCCCCAGAACATGGAAATTCAGATTACAGTACGAGAACTCTGTCCCGGGCGCGAAGTGGACTGATTTTGTCCGCGCGCGTAGACCAGGACTATCGCGCTCAATGAGGAACTCGTCATCTGGCTTTGCGCCTAGGAGGGTCGTCAGTGCCCAGTAATCCCGGAGTCCGGATTGCATGTGGCATAGTTGGTCGATTGTGACGGATACTCCGGGTAGGATGTCTGGGAGGACATCTGATAGCTGGGATCGGATTGATGGTATCGTGCGTTCTAGGTCCAGGATCAGGGCACAGATGAATTGCTTTGTTATGGAGCAGATGGGGAATTGGGTGTGGGGGGTTAGTGGGATTCGCTGGGATAGGTCTGCGAAGCCCCAGACGCGTTGGGCGAGGAGTTGTCCGTCTTTTAGGACGGCTATGGCGCCTCCTGGGCTTTTGCATCGGCGGGCGATTGAGTCGAGGATTGACTGGGTGTGTTCTTTTGTGTCTGGCATGGTTGCTGGAGGTGTGGTGAGGTGAGGAAGTTACCCCACTTTGATATCTGCTTATCGCTTCGTCTGGCTACCTAGGTATCTCGCTATGAACTCCCGTTAATGTGAGTGAACTTCCCTCGGCGTCTAATTTTCACGCGCTTCGACTTCAATTGGACTTCAGGCATATTGCCAAAACACCGTCACACGTCACCTACAGTGACGTGCCATGTACCTGGTGTCCAGGTAGGTCATTGTATCCGCAGAAGATTGTGCCAGGCTGGTGGATATGTGCAGATCTCCAGCAACATAACAATGGACGGCTAGTACGCCGAGGCCGGCGACAGACGTTTTCGGGATCTGGAGAAATGGGCGATCTCCAACACACTGCAACGTGTTGGGATCAGCGGAGTAGAAGTGACCTTGCATTGGAATGCACTTGCAGTAACTGTCGTTCTTTCCAGAAATCACTGTGCGATCGAAGGAAAGAGGAAATTGAGGTTGAACTTTAGAAATGGTGTAGATCGAGATATATTGCCCCCCACTTCCGCATCCGGAAGTCTTTGAAGCCCAGTTTGAACCCGCGAAAATCAAGTGTACAGTAATCACGAGTATGAATTGTGCTTTGAAGCTTGAAGACAATTGATTGTGAAGAAAAAAAAAAGTCCATGTTCTACCATGAACTTCGAAGTTGCGACCTGATGAGAACCTGGCCAGGTGGTCGGGCATTGAGTTAGCACTACGGGGTACCTGCCGTGTCTCGAGTAATTTATTTAAGTTGAAGCCCTGTAATCAAATAGACCCGCAGCAATATTCCCCATATAGATAGATCAGGGTGAATCGCCTCGCGGTTGACTTTCTCAGCCGTGGTCGTTCATCAGCAGAAGTTTCCCGCCCTGAAAATCTACAGTTGTACGAGCACTATTTTGCCCCTGCTGACTGTTTACAAGTGGATAGACTCGAGTGGTATGTCGGAGCCGGCCGTGAGACTTCAAGGTATTCTACTCCATTTCACGTGGTGAATAACACCTGTTTAAGGCCGGTGCTACCTGACAACAAAGCGTGCCAAGAATTGACTTCGATGCAAAAGTACTGCATGCAGGTACGGATTACTGATTGGGATGTTGTGTAATATTCTTTGCATCTTCGAGTTGTAACAGACGGATGTGAATATGGATGGGCGAAAATGTTTGCTCTGTTGATGAATCATGTAGTAGTAGTACGTGCACTGGACGGCCTAACATGAGATCATATCAACGGGCAGCCCTGCCGAGTTCGGAGCCCAATTCTCATCCGAACAGAGTTTAGGCAACTGGAGTTCCAAATGTTGGCTTCTTCCGGCTTGAACCAGATGCCAAGAAAAACCGTTAATTCATCATTATGGCAAGCATGTGGTACGAAAGTTATTGCAGGTCATCATGCTTTGCTTTTTGGTAAAGTGCATCCTGGAATGACCGGACACTTTACTCCGTGTTCCGGTCCGAATGTGACTGGCCATGGGAGATTAGCAGCAACATATGCTCCGAGACACGAAAACAACAGGGTGCACAAATCGAGTCTCAGAGAAGAAGATCATTGACAGAGTGACTGTATGTATGTCTAGTCCAATGATCAGACGCATTTTCAAAGCGACACAGGATGGGTCGGAGGCAATTCGGCCCACTCCGAGACAAAATTATTGTGACCCCATTTCCAGTGCATTGACTCCGTACCTTGCAGCACACTAATGTCCCCTTTGCTGATCAGAGGATATATGTACACTGCTTATAAGAAAGGGGGACCTAAGAATAGACAGTACTATATGGGAAATTAATAGAACCCCCTGATGCAGACAGATGTCTCTCGATGACGGATACTCCACCATGTCTCCATCGTCGCCCTAGTTTGTGTGTGGTGATGTGAGCCCCACTGACACAATTCAGGGTACGCCCACCATTGGGGGACCATTGGGGTAAGGATTAACCCCTAAAGTTGACCAGTGTCCCTCGAAATGGGAAAATCGGAGAAAAGCGAAGAGAAGCGGATGGAAATATCCGGGGAGATCGAGCAAATCATCGAATGAAGCCTCGGGGATCCACTGCTCTCTGCATATTTTTGGAATCAATGAATTGGTGGCTCTGCCAATCGGCTGTCAGCAAATTGGGTTAAAGTGGGCGGGCAAACGTGTCGCGACCCACTGGATCCGCTCATGTGCGCAGTGGCGGAATCTAGACCGAAAATTGATGGCCAGAACCTTGCTTTCGGCTTCAAAGGTGTGATTCTTCTTCTCGTCACTTTCCGTTTTCATTTTCACTTTTGCAAACTTCTTTCATAACTTTTCCTGGATTCACTCTTTTACTCCAGGCTTTTCCTTTTTTTCCACTTCTAACACTTTCGCTCCATTCACACATTCGCTTCAAAATGCGTTCCGCTCAATTCCTTGCCCTGGCGATGGCCGTCGCCACCTCTGAGGCTGTTTCTCAGGGTTTCAACTACGGTGCCACCAAGAGTGATGGCAGCGTCCGTACTCAGGCCGACTTCGAGACTGCCTTCAGCACCGCCAAGAACCTGCAGGGCACCAACAGTGAATTCACCAGTGCCCGTCTCTACACTATGATCCAGGGTGGTACCACCAACGGCCCCATTGAGGCCATTCCCGCCGCCATCAAGGAGAAGACTGAGCTCCTGCTCGGTCTCTGGGCCTCCGGTGGCACCATGGCCAACGAGATCGCCGCTCTCAAGACCGCCATCGACACCTACGGCGATGAGTTCACCAAGCTGGTCGTCGGTATCTCCGTCGGCAGCGAGGATCTCTACCGTAATTCCGCCATTGGCTCTGGCTCCTCCGCCGGCCCTGGTCTCGAGGCCTCCGAGCTCGTTGACTACATCAACCAGGTCCGCTCCGCCATCTCCGGCACCACCCTGAGCGGTGCTCCCATCGGTCACGTCGACACCTGGAACGCCTGGACTAACGGCTCCAACGCTGCCGCCATCGAGGCTGTCGACTGGCTCGGTTTCGACGGTTACCCTTACTTCGAGAACACCAAGCCCAACTCCATCGATGATGCCGCTGGTCTTTTCCAGACTGGTGTCAACAACTTGAAGGCCGCTGCCAAGGGTAAGGAGGTCTGGATCACCGAGACCGGTTGGCCCGTCTCTGGCGACAAGCAGGGTCAGGCTGTCGCCAGCGTTGAGAACGCTAAGCAGTACTGGGATGAGGTCGCTTGCCCTCTCCTCGGTAACACCAACACCTGGTGGTACATCCTCTCTGAGGCTGGTGCTTCCCCCGACTTCGGTGTCTCCAGCTCCGACTCTAACACCACTCCTCTGTTCGACCTGAGCTGCAAGAACGCCACCAGCTCTGCTGCTTTCGCTTCCGGTACCCCCACCGCCTCCGTCGGTGAGAAGTCTGGCTCTGGCGCTGCTGCTGCCACCGCTACCGGTTCTTCCGGCTCTGGCTCTGATGCCTCCGGCTCCGGCTCCAGCTCTGGTTCCGGATCCTCTGGTTCCAGCTCCGGCTCTTCCTCCGGCTCTGGCTCTTCCGGCTCTGGCGCTGGTGCCGTCGGCTCCTCCGCTGCCCACTCCTTCACCGCCGTGCCCAGCGGAACCCGCCCCTCCACCACCCCCAAGGCTAAGAGCTCCTCTGCCTCCGTCTCCGCCTCCGCTACCGGCTCTGCCTCCACTGGCTCCGGCTCCAGCTCCTCCGGTTCCGGTTCCAGCTCTGGCTCTGGATCTTCCGGCTCTGGCAGCGATGCCTCTGGCTCTGACTCTGGCTCTGGTACCTCCTCCGGCACCTCTGCCTCTTCCACCCCTAGCTTCAACTCCGCTGGCCGTGTCACTGGCTCTGCCTTCGGTGCTCTGATTGGTGCCCTTGCTCTTGCTTTCACTTTCTAAGCACATTCATTTTGTTGGGCGATTAGGAGTGATTGGTTGGCTTACTCGCCTTGGCCTGTAATCGGGTTTTAGATGTACTATTTTCTTGCTTTCCTTTACATACTTAACAAAAGGATTTATTTACCTTGAATACTACAACATTGTTCAAACAATCTCTAGATTCATTCAAATTGTCAACTCCTGTACCGTTGGCAATATTTCCGAACATGATGTAGACCAAACTTTAGGAGGTATACGAAGTCTGAACTGCACTGAGATCAAGTAACTATGATCTCACTCGACTTCCGTGGTCTCAGCAAGTTGATACAAGAGCCGCCCAATGAATTCTTCCAGTTCCCCAAACCCCAGATCTCCAATCCCATGAGGTCTATCACCGCGATCCAGAGCGCCCTTGATCATCTTACCAACCACCTCAAGATACGCTCGTTTCCAATCCTCAATGAACACCCCAGCCTGATCCTCCGTTCTAAACTTTTCATAACACGACCCACGTACCCCCTTTACTTGCTCTTCGGCACCGCCCTCCCCACTGCATCGTGTCAGTCAATCCTGAAACTAACCTTCCAATCAAGTACCGTTAAGCTTACCCCCAGTAAGTATACACACCGGGCTTCCCTCCATTCGCAACAGCATAGAATATACTTCGATCAACAGGAGCCGACGATCCTGCTTCGCTTTCGGCGATTTCCAGGGGATCGGGAACGCCGTGATTCCTCATATACTCGCGTGCTTCTTCCAGCGTCGCGAACCCTTCAGGTACTGCGCCAGTGTGGCCAGTCACACGGGGATGTGCGTGCGCCCTGGAACTGTCAGATCATCGGTACAAATGGAGAGGATGCCGATTACCATGACGGGAAGATTGTCGGCTCTTCGATGCTTCGTCCTTCGAGGACTGCAAAGTACTCCTTTCGCTCTTTTCTTCGGTTACGGTGCACCATGATTTGGATCTTCTGATTGGGGGAACTGTGAGATGTGTGATACAAAGAGGCAAGACAGCTTCTGGAGAGAGAGTACTATCTGGGTGAGAGAGGATATTTATCTCCCAGAATATCCCTACAGTTTACCCAGAGTTCACCCAGGGCGTTTCAGTTGCGAAGCCAACATATGATATTGTTGGTGTTGCAAAACAGATGATTCGTCCACGCATGCGTTGGTAGATGCGAGGCGAAGCGTCGCAGGAGTTTGCGCCAGGCACCACTGGGGCTGAGCGCGAAGCACAGATTTACAACCAGGTAGCCTCCAGGGCTTCTGCGCAGATCCAATGAATTCCATTCGGAGTCAAATCACAGCCTATCACTAAGGGGGCCAAGTCGTTCCAGGGCTCTTCAGGTAAGTGCGGTTTGCCTATCCTTGAAATTTAGCTATATGACAGCATCATATAGCACGGCGCGTGTGACCAGCCCCGAGCGGCTCGGTAGTTCATTTCAAGTAATGCTGAGATCGCCTCACTCTGTTCGAGGGATACCTATGCATTTCGGGACTAGAAGTTGGAAGTGGAGGAAGAGAGTCATGGGAGATTAGGGTTTGAAAGGTTTGACCAACCTTGAGGGCCTCAGGTGTTGGAAGCGCCACTGTGGCTTAGGCCTGCGCTGCACTTACTACGTCCTCTTTTTTATTTGAACAGCAACTTCCGTTTTGTTTTACAGTCTAGCGCCGAAGAATGAGAATAGCACATTGCTGCTGTCCTCTGTACTTTTCCAAGGCTCAATAGAGAATGTGTCGCTTTCTAATAACTGTTCACATCATATAACTTGAAAATTTTCATTAACCAGATTGAAGACAAAACCCGGTTATGGAGGTCAATCTGAAGTCCCAGGATCCCTAGAGTTAATATGAAAGTCAAAGCTGATGATCCTATAGGAAGATAAGCAATGCAGCTTACTAGACCCAAGAGGCTATAGTGTGGGCCGAATCCAGGTTTATCGCGACGATCGGCAACTGCCATTGCAACGCGACTGGTTCACGATGGGGGGTTTGGCACGGGGCTAAGCGGGCTAAGCGGGGTGTCTGGCACTTTTTTTTTCTTTTCTGGTTTCTCTTTCTTCTTTTCTTTTTTTCCCATGAGCTTCTACAAGTCTAGCAGTCATGGATCAAGATCAGCACAAAGACCCAGCAAACTCCACTGTGGAGGTGGACCGAGCAGGTCTGAAGGCCGAGCCAACGGCACCAGATCAGTTCGACGAGAGATACCGCACCACCCGGATGGAAATCTGGGCTTACTATGCGTGCGTGAATTGTTAATTGAGCCCTGCCTGGAAACTAAACCCCTGCAGCTATTACATTGGAAATAATGGCCTGTCGCTATTCAGTGGGTCTCTTCCAAGTGGATTTCGTCATGAATTCTGACATCCCGCAGACTTTGCGCCAACGGCTTTCCAAAATCTGCTGTATCAAGCCGCGCCTGAAAGTGGTTTGCTTGATTTCATAGGCCATCCACGAACCGTCAACAGTATTGTGCTTCTTTCCAATGGAATTTCCTTCGCCATCCAGGTCGTGGTGTTCTTGGTTATTGGCAGTTTCGCTGATTTCGGATACTGGCGGCCCAACATCTTGATTGTCCTGTCAATTATCGCCTATGGTATAGGCTTCGGCTGGTTGGGCGTGCATACTTCGGAAAAATGGCATGTCGCTGTCGGGTTGTACATGGTGGGGTTGATTGCCTACCAGACGACCCTCACTTTCTGGACAGCCGCATTCCCGGGATTGGCACGCAATACCATCGAAATGAAGGAAAAGGCCGACGCATATGCTGCTGGGACCATTTCTCGAGATGAATATGACTACGCGGATACCATGATGCGTAGCAAGTTAGCCAATGTCGCCTTCTACGTGCAGTCCGTGGCAGAGATTTTCATTTTGGCTATTATTGTTGGAATCATGTTCGGATTGAAGGTCAACGATAGCGAGAGTAACAACAACTGGGGATTAAGTGTGTTAATCGCCTTTGTTTCTGGTGTGTGGCTACTTGTCTCAATCCCGTGGTTTGTTCTTGAGAAACGGCGTCCCGGTCAAGATCCTGGGAGACGGTCCATTCTTCTTGCTGGTGTCTGGCAATTATGGTATGCCTTGAAGCAGATCTGGCATTTGAAGCAGAGTTTGATTTATCTCATCGGTAAGTGCAATGGTTTCAAAGACTCCGTGCTTGCCAGAGGTCTGTCGCTGACCACACACGCTCGATTCAGGATATTTCCTACTAGGCGACTCTCTCAACACTACAGTCACAGTCATTGCCACGTTACAGAATAGCATTGTTGCTTATAATACCCTGGAATTGACTTACCTTCTGATCGTTGGAATTGCCGCGCAGGTCAGTTGATTATATTTACAGTCGTGCTTCCGCTAACACCTCTTCACCAGGCGGTTGGGATTTATATATTCTGGAAAGTCCAACAGAAATTCCGACTCGGAACCAAGACCATGTTCAACACGATTGCCATGTGCATCATTCTGCTAGATGGCTGGGGAATGATCGGTATCTGGACGAACAAATTTGGTTTCCACAATGCATGGGAAGTTTGGGTACGTTGACCACAAAAATCCTACCTGAGCTTAACTTAACGAATCATCACGCAGGTATATCAAGCTTTCTACGGGTTCTTCATTTGTCCCTGGTACAGTTACTCTCAGATCATGATTTCAGAAGTCACACCTCGCGGCCACGAGTTCTTGTTTTTCAGTTTATTCAGCATCATCGGAAAAACATCATCATTCATCGGACCCATCGTTTCTAGTGCTATTATCGACGCAAGCCCTACTGGAAATGTCTCAACGCCATTCTACTTTCTCTTTGCGCTGAGTGTGGTGAGCTTCTTGATTCTCTTCCTCGGTGTGGATTTGAAGAAGAGCCAGGAAGAGCAGGAGAAATTTTTACTTGATAAATTGCGCAAGTTGAACGCAAGTGACTCTTCATCCTCTGATGAGAGAGTTTCGACGCCGGTTTGAACTACTTTCTTCGGACCTTTGAGCTTTCATTCCGAGCTTGGTTATCCATAACGTTGTCTTCGTGTTTTCTTGTAAATAGCACGGGTTATCATTTTCAAGTTAAACGTCTAACAACAGCCCACAATCCATGGGCAGGAATGTCAGAATTTGTGTGTCGCCGTTTCCTGTCATCATATATTCTCTGGTTGCCAAAAGTGACGGAACCCAGCATGTATTTGGGCCCAAAAAGTGGGCTCCTGTATAGTTTGCACTCTTTGCAAACTATGTGTGTGTTTTACATAGCTAGTCACATGATTACTGCCCTGTATAAAAAGGGCAGCAGCTAGTAATAATATATCAGACTTTTCACATATTTTGACGAAGCTATACTTCGCTCTCTTTGGCTGGGATCTCACTGACTTCGACAAAAAATTGGTGCCTGATCTTTGCCTTAATGCCTGACTCTGGGTGTGCAGATATCAGGCAGCATTGCACCTGGCCGCTGTGCCCCCTTGAAGGCTTGATTCATGACCGAAGTTTATGTTTCTGTGGAGACCACAGACTAATGGTGCAGTGGTTGAGGGGCATATAAGGACAGAAACAGACAAAAGAAAGTGAAGAAAGTGAAGAAAGTGAAGATCCTTCGTCCTTTCAAACTGGAGGGACTGATCGACTCGAATCTCGCCAGGCCTGACCCAACCGACGAAAGTGAAGAAAGTGAAGAAAGTGAAGATCCTTCGTCCTTTCAAACTGGAGGGAGGGTCTGATCGACTCTAATCTAGCGAGGCCTGACCCAACCGACGAAAGTGAAGAAAGTGAAGAGTGAAGCAGGGAGAGGGAGAGAAAGGGAAGATGGCCTCTTCATTCTCCTTTGTCTTTTCTAATCCGCTAAGTTTCATTCTTTACCCTCTACCTCCAGCTGGCCCGCAAAAAGACATCTCACGTGGTCAAAACCAGAGCGCCGACGACGGGATCATCATCGAGGAAATACCCTACCCCCGTGATAGGAGAGGACCAAAAGCAACCCGTCTGCGGGGTGCACACCATAGCCTCGTGGCTGACACATTGAAGGACTGTCCCCTTTGTGGCGGCAAGGCCACAGATTGAAACTGCTGAGCGCAGAATGAGTCGCGAGGAACAATCCAGTATGCCTCCGCTATCGCTTTGGGGTGAGGTTTACATTGCAGCAAAAATAGAGGTGGAAGGTTGGCTTCTTCCGGTGGATAGCCGTGGCGGTTCCACGGTTGGTACCCGTCGCCCAATGCAGGTTGAGCTTGTTTTTCCTTTACTATGATCAGCTGCTTCCACTGTTCACTCTTTCCACAATTCGGCCAACCCAGAGAGCTTTATCAGTCTGACCTTGGAATTCTCTCTCGCTGACACTCGCATAGTGGACGACAGCTCCGATCATCCCACGAATATCCCTAAAGACCTCATCTTATTCGCCACGCTTGAGTACATCGGGTTCAACCACCAGACCGCCACTGACATCTGGGAAAGATGGACCAACTGGCCCTTGGGATAACCCAGGCGCGAATGCGATGATTCTGAAGACAGCATCCTTTTCATCGAGATCGTCGAGGGCTCGCTTGATCACCAGCCCGACACTTCGAGTACTAGTCGGAAAATGGCGGGTCTCATCTTTCTATCAGTCCTACTCGCTCACGAATTGGCCCACGTTTTAAAGTTCCGCAGCATAAGGGCTGGTCGACTACGGTCTGATGGTTAGCCTTTTGGAACCCCTGCTGGCGCAACGTGCCGCGAGGCCGGTACTGCTTGGGAAATTCATGCATTTGGAGGCCGTTCGTTGACGAGTCGAACCGTCCTCAGAGCCAATGCAAGGCTGATCGAGATGTCGACGACATCGTGGTTTTGCTGAAGTGGCTTTCGATGAATAAAATGAAAATCGACTTGGTACTCGGTCTGTTAGCGTGAGAATCCCTTGGTAAATATATGTGGTTTATGCATCAAAAGTACCGTATGGGATTTTGATGTAATGAAAGTGAGTGAGAATTGGTTTCATCAATTTCCTGCGTACTCACGCCCACCACTGCGGTAGCGAACTTGTTCTTTGCCAGGTATGTTGGTGGCTCCGAGGAAGACGTCGGTATTTTCCACATCGACAGGGCGTTGGACCAGCTTTCACAGCAATCAAAACTTTGAGTGAGAATTGGTTTCATCAATTTCCTATTAAATTACTGTCTAATTTTCGCCAGTACTGTGGTGAGTGTTCAAGCGACCATACCCATCCCAGTCTTGTTATCCTGCGAGGGCTCGATATATTCGGGAAGATGCTCAACGACGAGCTTTGCAGCAGCCATTTGAGCGGCAGCGCGCATAACTACTGAATCCGGTAATCACAATGACTTCGAAGGGCTGACATTTTCTGTTGGTCTATGATGTATAACGGTGTATGTTTGTAGAAAACAGCCGAAGGGATGGCCAATGGGAACATAATACGGATGAATGGGTGACGCTGCGAGGATGGCAAGATATGTAGGGCTCTGGGTTGTCATATGGGCACTGCGCCGAGTGAGGCTAAAGTACGCCATCAATGTTGAGCCAATGGGCGACTTCTGAGCTGCCGCTCAGACTCGTCTGGTAAGCTGAGTGGCATTTCTATACGGATGGCACCGAGCTTTGCCTCATTTGGAGAATCACCCGGGTAAATTTCATGCAAGAAAACGCATTCAGAATGACCATGATAGGTATAAATCTTCCCCTCCACCCGAAGCTCTCAAGCTTCCAGATATTCGTCAATTCTTTCTACTCAAATTACTCTAGCAATCTCAAGTACATTTCTATTCCGGATTGTTGTCTATACATCGGGTTACCAACTGCCGTCCAGTTTTACCCAACCTCGTCGCAAGCACCTTGGAATAAGCCTTGGAATCCACATTATCAGCCCAAACGTTGAAATGGCTGATTTAGCGACACACACAGTATGATACCTTTGAGCATGCTTGGCTATTCAACAATGAAACCTTCAAAGTTTGTCATATCTACTTACATAACATGCGATATTAGGGCGCGTGCTTCGTCGGGATGCAAGTCAACTACTGCGGTGCTGTTTGGACCATTGCCTCGATGGCTGTTGGAGGTGCTCTCAACCAGGCCTACACTTTTGTGATACATAGTATCGACGGACAATCGCGAACAGTATCTGGTGCTTCTTTGAGTCCAGCCAGATAAATCAAGATGGACTTCAGGCTTTGAGATGTTTGAAGTGTTGCTCAAATGTTCAGATGTTAAATTGATACTTCCAATTCAAACTTCAATCTAGGGCTTCGATACACGACCTCCATCTCAGAGTAATCGCTTTGTTTAAATCCCCCCAAGAACCTTCGGTGAATCCCGGGCCATGGGCCCAGCACACATCCATGCAGCCACTACTTAAGTATCACCATCTGGGTAGTTGACAGCACAAGAAGAAATACAACTATTGTAATGCGGAAGACCCTGTATTTGACATAATCACCAGTATGGTATGCCACACCCCCTTTTCTGTTATAAGCAGCTATAATACGGGGCCTGGGGAGTGATAGTTCATAGTAAGCACCCTCATATGTTCAGAGTAAATATACCGTACCCGAAGCTCGGTAATTCGAGCATTATACCTTGGCAAGCAGGTGTACGGAGTATGGTGCACAGGCCACACGCGTATTTCAAAGCTCGGACCGGAATAACATTTGATCCGGTAAAACAAGAAGTGCTTCCGAAGTTGTCCCTTTTCGAACTTAGGCATCTCCGACGCATTTACTCTTCACTTTTAACTCCTGGGTATCTGGCAATCTGAACCTTGAGCCCACTTGAGCCCATAAGAACCTCTTCGCGCTGGAACTCGTTTCTCAAAAATGGATACAATACAATACATTATCCTAGCAGCAACAATTCTTGCTATACTCTGGCCCGTGAGTAACATCAAGTTCTCTTACCAGTCCAGATGGACACGTGATGAAGAATATCACTTGGGCACTCCTCGCTCTACTGCACCTTTCAAATCCCAACATGTCCCCTTGGTGTTTACCCAGGATCCATTATATAAAAAAAAAAAAAAAAAAATATGTTCCCGGACACTAACCAAGAGCGCTTCTGAAGATCGTCACCGCAGACCGTTCGCCCATTCCAGAGACATCTGGTAATGTCCAAAAAATCAGCGAACTCGCTGAGCTTCGTCGTTTGCTTTCAACCAACAAATTCACCGTCATCGACTTCTATGCTGACTGGTGCCCTCCCTGTCGTGCTATCGCTCCGGTGTTTTCCAAGCTTGCCGATGAACATGCTTTGAAGGGCCAGCTCGCTTTTGTGAAAGTCAACGTTGATCATTGCAAAGATGTTGCTAAGTTGTATAACATTACATCTATGCCGACATTCCTATTTTTCGAAAATGGAGAGCCAAAGCCAGTCTTGGTGCAAAGGGATGAGCGTGGGTCTACGAACATTCCTCACGATGGGCTGGTTGAGAAGGTTCAAGGTGCGAACGTAGGTCTGTTGAGATGTGTGGTCCAGGCCTTGGCCTTAAAGGCTACTTCGGAATCTTGAGCCTGATGTCATGCCCAGGTGGTGAGCATGCATCTGGGAACTGTTTCGAGGGGCAGATGTCAAGCTTGCTGCGCTTTCTTTTCCCATTCCTGGCATGCAGCACAGCAAAATTGAGGTTGAAAATTCGTCCGGTGGCGTTAGAATTCGTATCCCGGCGCTGTAAACGATCAAAAGCTTCTGTTTGTTTGTCTTATCTTGTAAAGACTGAGAAGCTGGGTTCTCTGAAGGGAATATAGAAGGGTCATATGAGCCAAGCGTAAAGAGTGTGTTCGGCGAGCCTCCATCAGTTAACCTAGAGCTATACAATCTCCACTGTAACAGGGGTATCATCACCAAACAAGGAGCTTTTTTTCTCATCGTCACGACCACAAAAACCTATGCCGATTCTTTCAAAGGCACCCTCCTTATATGTTGACTTCGTCAGTACGAGGAATGTTGTCTTCGGGCCCATGCGAGGTACCCATGAGCCACGAGTATACCCCACAAGGTCGAACAATCTGAAACAGTCATACTGGTTGTCTTTGGCTGTTGTCAACCCGGAGTCTAGAGATATTGATCCCCAAGACTGCCCTCGTTTGGGGTTGACGACTTTTCCGTCGTCCCCTCCTAGATATTTCACGGTGACAAAGGAACCTTTGAGGACTAGAGAGCCCCCAATCACAGCACTGGTTGGATCATTCGGAAGCTCCCTTTTGCAATCGATGGTGCCGATCTCTATGGCATTTATTGCTTCAGGTTCGTATTTCCACGTTTCGAAATCATCAGTCAATGGGAAGGAAACTGGTTTTCCCACGGAGGCCCATGACCAGCTTGGTATCCGGTAATTGCTTTCGCTTTCATCTTTGAGCCCCAGAGATGAAGGCACATCATCTTCATCTTCATCTTCATCTTCATAATTGATGAACCATGCCAGATCGAAGTGAAGCTCATCCTTCCAAAGCCCGGCCACATACTCGTCAGGAAACCCGTTGTGTTGGAGTAGTCGATTCTGCACTAGTTCGGCTAATGCGGAAATGGCTCGCAAGACATCATTTTTTTGGCTGAAAGAGCGATGAGAATAATCAACGACAAGTTCCCTCCATTTAAAATATGGTGAGACTGTTCGATAGCCACGTCGCATTTGAAATATTCTATCGCGTGGAGGCTCCGCCCCTGGCATGTGAGTCTTGAGCATCGTTCCAAGACCGTTATAGTCTTTGCTGGTTTTTGTTTCACTGCCTGGACGTACCACATGCCCACATTCACAGATTTGACGACACATACACTCCCAAAGCATTTCATTGCCGTCGTAACAGAGCCGGCGGTTAGGCAGAATCGATTCTTGTAGACACCAGCCTCGTTTATCCAAAGAAGACCGGTCTCTATCAGATCGAGACTTGAATTCACCAGGTCGAATTAGCAGGCTTGGGGGCTTGCTGTCTGACCACTCTGATAATTCAGGGCAGAAAAGCCTTTGCCAACTAGGGTCGCCAAACTGTTGCTTGCCTAGAAAGCTCGATTGACACGAATTCGGCTCCATAATCGCAATTGTCAGATGGGAATTTCGGTACACATCATGCATCGTCGACGCATCTTTTAGCCACAAATTTCGGTCATTCTGAACGATACACAGTGAATCGACCCAAAGGTTTGGTATATCCAGAGCACGACAAACTTTGATGGCATCTTGAATGGTTGCTGGCAGTTTTGCTAACTCCAACTTCCGGTAGTGAGATTGGATATTATTAGTTGTTGTTTTCATATTCTGGTCGACATTGACCCCCCAGCAGTAACTGAGACAAGCGTATTGAACAGGCACACTAGGCTTGAACAAGAAGGGTTCTTGAAGTTCGTGCGATGAGCCCACGTTGATTAAGTGTCGAGGCATGAATGATGCGTCTTGTGGCCTGCAGGGCGCATCATTCTGCACGCAGTGTGAAAGCCATTGCTTCGCACGATCAAAAGCAGCCGATGAGCCCGAGTCAACGTTCACCTGTAGAGACCGCAAAATTCCACCTCTCGTCCAAGGCATTGCAGAGCTGTCACCATTATAGATAGGACAGGGAGATAACTCGAAAAGGTGGAATTGGAAGAAATCATGCTCCTCAAAGATGCCCCATGATGTTTCTGAACCCTTGATACCCATACGTATTGTGAGAGCGACCGGCTCAGCGAATGACGTGTCTATCCCCAGCTCAACAGCTCCCTGGTGTTTGTTTTCTGTACTCCAGCCCGGTGTGGTTGCTTCTATAACTTTCAGCAGTATTTCACAATCAATACATGCCGATGCATTCTGGATAAATGTTGATATCGGAGCCCATAACCCTAAGGTACCGTGTTTGCGTTTGAACTCAGAGTGAGGGCAACCCGCCTCTGGCGATGATGATCTTTCCGAGTACGACATGCTTCTCGGTGATATTTCAGGAAGATAACCTCGATCGCTTTGCATTCCAGGTTGTTGCATTGGGGTTTAATAATGTCGAGCTTCCCCACTTTCCAGAATTTGACGTGTTGATTCTTGAATGCCCAAGCGGGGCCCAAGTCATCAAATATGCACCAACCATGGGGCTGAAATAACCGCCAATAGGGTAGATAGCGCTGCATGAGATTGAAGCGACCTGTGCATAAGAATAATAATATTAGTGGTATTGAGAAAGCAAAGAAGGAGAACACTTAAGCATACATCCTGTCTCTCTTGATAACGGACAACGATCAATCGGGGCAATCTCGTTTCTCTGAAATTCCGAGGTGGGAGTTGGATATGCCCTATCTCACTCAACATATGCTCGTTCTCTTGCACCTGAGCAGGTTCTCTCCTTTCGCCTCACACTTGAGCACCTCGGTCTCCTCATTGAATGATACACTGCGCACAGTGCGGTGCTACAATCCTGATAGAAAACTAGCTCTGTCTTTACTCTCTGTCTCTTCCCCCTCTTTTTTCTCTCCTCAGACCGAAACAAGAAATTCATCGCTTCTGTCCGTCTTTCCCTCTTTATGATCCGTTGTTAAAACGTAATTAGACTTAGAGCTTTGTCCTAGCTCTGGTCTTGATTGCCTCACATTGACTATTTTCCGAGGTTTAGAGCTAAGGGCATACTGAAGGCATATGGTAGATGAGTTCTGCGTTAGCTCTTAGCGTTAGGCTTTTTAATATGTTCATCACACTTTCCGGGCCTTGATGTCTAGAAAACCAATTCCAAGCCTTGGGGCTTTGCAGCACTGTGATCTGGGCAAAACCAAATCAAATTCCTCTTGGGTGAGGGGTAATGAGAGGGGTAGTGAGACGAGCTAGTGAGACTAACATTTTGAGAGGGATATTTGAGCCCCAACTACATGTCTTCCTCCCTGTAGAAGATTACCAAGACGCAGTCCATTCCGTTGTAGCCAGTCATTGACCCAGAACCTGGAACTTGCATTTAAATCCGGTGAACCAATTCCCGATTTTCCGCAGGAGGCTCTTTTCCAACATGTCGCACTTGAATTCTTCTCAAAGGCTGTGTATCTACTGTCGTACTCTTGAACCAAGCACTGAACTATGTCCAATGATACAGAACTCATCACCGATTTCTGACATCCATACCGACAACCCAAATGTTGGTCTTTCGAAGGACGATGCAGACCAAATCCGTACCCTCCAGGGCCAACCAAGTGAGCTTTGCGCGCGGTGCGCAGGTTTTGACATCCTGGCATTATTTTCAAAGTCTCAGCCATTGGACAGTCATCAGCGGTACGAATTACGTGATACTCCAGCTTTTGTGAATGACTTGAATCACAGAATTCATCTTGGGTGTCTGTCTTCGATATTTCTCACTCCTTCCTGCCCCTTCTGTCGCCTTCTTTACTGCAATCTCCCCAGAAATCCATCATCGGGGCGCACCAAAGGTGGAGCGTTGAAGTATGCGCAGCGAGTTGGGGAGACCGATCCAGAGATGTATCTGACGCCAGCGCGCACATACTTAAGACAATTTGGTTGGGAAACAATGCCAGACTCCTACAAAAAGCAGCATGCCGTTGTGTTATCTCTGGAAGAAAGCTGCTATAGCAAAAACGAGCTTTTCCAATCCACCCCATCGCCTCTCGCCGATGCCTCGGATGTGGAATATGCAAGTCTGGACGGACCTCTCATTGCCATGGAAAGTCGGTTCCTGGCGCCCGATCGGAAATTTTTGAATTTTAGGTTGGTTGCCAATGAGCCCGACTTGGGTGAAGTTCGCCAGGCTCTGGATGACTGTATTCAGAACCATGCTGGTACATGCCATGTGGAGAAGCCTGAGGAACTTCTCAAAATCCAAGTCATAGATGTCATTGAACGTGTCGTCATTCCGTATCCAGCAGGGTCGGAATATGTTGCCCTAAGCTATGTGTGGGGTGGAGTTGCACCATCTCCTGGGGCGCTTGAAAACAGATGCCTTCCAAGGACAATCGAGGATGCCATAACGGTGACAAAAGGGTTGGGCATGAGATATCTTTGGGTATGTCTATGCTGTTATGATGAGGAATTGGTTTGATGGCTTACTATCCCACTTCTTAGGTCGATGCACTCTGCATAGACCAATCGCCATGTCTTACCGAATCCCAGATGAAAGAGAAAATAATGCAGCTCGATATGATGTCGACCATATATGGCTGTTCGATCCTAGTCATCACAGCTATGGATGGTAAAAATGGAAATTCCGGCCTCTCAGGTATCTCAGCTCCTAGGGGGGCCCAAGTGGCCGAGACGATTGACGGCTGCAATTTTTTTACCACGCCGGCAACCGATCGATGGGAGAAAGAGAGGTCTATATGGGCAACTCGGGCGTGGACAAAACAGGAGGATTTTCTTTCGCCGAGATCGATCAATTTCACAAGCGGCCAAGTTGTGTTCAGATGCAACAGAAGTGGAGTCGAAGAGGGTCTGGATATGGCGTCTGTAGACAAGAAATCCTCCGAAATACCAATCCATGATGCTGTATCAGGCGCACTTGGAGGAATTTTTGCAATGGTAAGGATAAAGGGACCGCTGTTCCGAAGTCTCGCTGACAGCTATATCAAGACAGCAGGTTCCAGCACCGATGAAGCTACCTCCACTTACAAAAATCTTCTGATCTTCTTTTCCATCCTCACTGATTATACCAATCTCAAAATGACCAACGAGAATGATTCTCTGAATGCCTTCCGCGGCCTCATTACGGCTTTCAGAAAACAATCATTCCCGCAGGGCTTTGTGCATGGTCTCCCCTTGAAAAGCCACATTATATCGCTGGCATGGATACACGAGGGCGGCGTGGTCCCAAAACGGCGAGCCAATTTTCCGACTTGGAGCTGGACAGGGTGGGAGGGAGGAGTGACCCTCCCCTATAAGCTTAGGCTGCTTGCTGAGGATCCTTCTGCCGTTGTCGACGAAAGCCATCTGGAGCCAGCCTTTCTTAAGTGCGATGGGGATGAAATTGAGATTGATGGTTGGGTCGTGGACCTTGATATCCGGACAGAGCCATTCAGTGAGGTCTTTATCCCCGGACGTGAGGAATCCATTGCCACTGTCAGGGTAGGGGACTCGACTCACAACAATACTCTGCCGACTGGTCGTTATACCTGCCTGATCATTAGAAGACATTCCGAGATCCTTGGATCCAGATGGGCTGAGAATGACCAGAGCAGTGCGAAGTTGAAACAGAGAGATACTTTGTTCGTGCTTGCTTTTGATCAAATCCCTCATGAGAAACAGGCTGTTAGAAGGTCGCTTTTGACGATAGCCCTATTTGCTGGGGAGTCATCGGATCAAATCGTGCGGCGAAGGGAGGTTGTACGACTCATTTAGCGGGACCCAACAGTGAAACTATCCATTTGATTGGTTTCAAACAGGGTGCGCTTGAGCCATGTAAGAATGCCGCAACCTTGCAATCGTCACCTTTCTCCGAAATTTCTTCGTTTGTGGTAGCATTGGCATCCGGCTCTTCAATATCGAGATCATCGTAACTTGGTATAATCTCAAAGAACTCATAGTCGGTCTCATGTGTTTAATTTTTCATTGCAAAGATGTTGTGGCGTCCACGGGGTGGTGGTCCAGGGCTTCAATATGGCTTTATTTGAACAGACCATGCATCAACCAAGGATCAAAGAGCAGATCTTTCGCAGAAGCTCTTTCTTCCGGTAGCCAACGTAGCATTCGTCGGAGGAAACTTAAAAAGTTTTCGTTTCCGTCTCCTTCTAGCCTTCCTTCTAGGGTGTAAAGATCGTAATCCGGGATTGAAGCTGCATTTTTCCAGTCACCTAGTGCAGAGGTTAACAACATTATATCCATCAAGTTGAGTATTTTACGACAGAAGGGGGTTGCACGAACCATTTTTATCCCAAAACAGGTGACTCCTTTCGCTGCGACCAAGAAACTCAGCAGGAGGGCGTCCCAACACCGCCTGCATCTCGGCGAGATGACATCCATCATCTAATTCTCGCGCAGAATTGCGCGCCTTGAAAAGGTGGCGATGCTCAAACAGATCCCACATCTAACGAGTGTTAGGTCTATACTGATCTTAAATCACAATGCAACCGCGTGGGCAGTTGATATCAAGGCTTACCAGCATTCCAACATTCCAGATATCAACTTTGCTGTCCCAAGCCATACCCAAGATGACCTCTGGTGCCCGGTAGATATCCGGCATGATATCACCCCATTGCTGGTCAGTCCCCACTCGAGCCTCGCCTAGATCGCAAAGGACCGGGGTTCCGTAAGAGATGCGGAGTGGTCTTGATAGGTAAATAGTACGATCCTTGAGAACTTTTCGTGGTATAGGTGTTTCGAACTCTGCTTGTTCGAATTGGGACAGAATGGAATCGTCCTTGATGCCAAGGAGAATGTTGTTTGGTTGAAGATCTAATATGCGTTTAGTGCTCGTTGCTCATCCCTCCCCAATGTAGTAAATCAAAGTGTTTCCTACCGGTATGTATGACACCTGCCTCGGTATGAAGGAAGTCAAGAGCAGCAAGGATATTCCGCATAGTGGTCCTCACCATGGCGCTGGTCATCACCCCATCAGGGAGTAACGCAGTAAGCTGGTCCAAGCTAATCCCTAGAGGTGGGTGGACTAGACAATCGTGAGTACCATATCCATCTGGACTCTGGGCTTGAAAGAACTCGATTAACGGTCGCAGGCACGATTGACCAGCATGGCTAGATTTGATCGTTTTCAAATGGCCATAGACCTCGATCTCCCGAGCCACTGTTGCTGAGACCGTGTTGATTTTCAATGACACGTAACGGTGGTCCCTGGGCCGGTTAGCTCGGGGCGATGATTTGGAAATTGCCTGCCCTCACACTAAGTCGCGGCAGAGCCACACAGTCGCGCTGGAGCCATAGCCTAACTTGCCTACCACTTGATATCGGTGATTGAATACCTCTCCAATGCGCGCTGGATAAAAATTCTCAGATTTGTAGCTTGGAATTAGCTCTTCTTCGACTTTGTGGGAAGGATCGATGATATCCCATCCGGCACAGGGGAAGACGCGTCGTGCCAAGGGAGCGCGAGGTCCGGTCATAGCACGCTTGCCTAAGCCTATACACGAAGAGGCAATTCTCAGATGAACTCCCGGTCGTAGCATCGGGACTGTTATTGGGCGATTGAATAGTGCTCTTTTCGCCGGCATCGTGCGTTTCTTGACAGGAAGAGCGGGATTCCCTGATGGAGTGTGTGGATTCAGATTGGGTTGACTATCGGATGAGCGCGTCGCGTGTCACATGTTTGCGGACTCTGTCAACAGACGAGGGATGCCTTCAAGTCACAATGAAAATGGTGTTTGCGAGCTGTTGTGGCATTATCTGATATGAATCTGTCCAACACTGATTCTAGTACATACGACCACAGGGTGTGGAGAACAGGGCTTCCCGTCCGCTCAGCCGTACTTAAGCCACACGCCGGTGAGCTAGTAGTTGGGTGGGTGACCACCAGCGAATCCTCACTGTTGTATGTTTTTCTTTTTTGGTTGAAGTTTTACCTCAACTGTTGGTTTCAAGATTGTCTCAGCTTACAGCTTGAATTTGTTAGGGCATACATAGCTATGGGTCTTCGTTGCTCGCAGCAAGGGCAAGTTCAGAAGCTACATGTCAATGAAGACGACACATAAAGTTCCAGTAGTAGCTTTAATTTAGCACACCCAACCTCCATCCACGTTGAAAACAGCACTGGTACCGCGTGGCTTAGTAGAAAAGTGTTAACATTGGCCACTTCAGTTGGTTCCGCCCTCCTCCTTTGGACCGTAACCTGTAAGCCACTCCACATGTTCCAGATCTTCACCAGCGGAAATTGGCATATTCACAGATCCTGAGTTGCCATTGTTAGCGAGATTATCTCTGGATCTCCATCCACAAACCACAATTATTGACCTCACCGGGAGAGACGCAGTTCACTCGGATGTGCTGATTTTCTTTGGCGGCTACTCTGGACAGACCAATAACGGCGGCTTTAATTGAGCAGTCGGGGGGAGTTTCCGGGCGCTCCAATTTGTCCAAATACACTTGCTACAGACACCTGTACTTTAAGTCAGCTGAAATTCCGAAATGGTAAGCAAAAGGCTCGAAACACACAATACTTCCACCTGGAGCCATTGCTTTTAGCTGAGCCCCAAGAAAACAGTAAACACCACGGGCATTGACGTCAAAGTTGAAGTTCCATGCCTTATCCGTCAATTCTGTAGTTGGTTTGGCCGGTGAGATGATGCCAGCCATATTCACCGCACCATCCAACTTTCCAAGCTTCTGCACAGTTGTTGCGATCCAGTGGTCGACCGAATCACTGGAACACACATCAACCCGAGAAACAACATGATTTTCTGGGTGATCAAGCTCCTTCGCTGCTTTTAGAAGTGCTTCTTCATGAATATCGGCTACTGACAGGGCTCCGCCGTGAGACGCACCAGGGACGATAGCGCGAGCGAGGGAGATATTGAATTAAGATCGTTATCTCAAGGAGCAAATAGCAGTATTCTTCATCTCCTTCCCTAGCTGCGCCCGCTGGTGCATCTCCTCCGCCTGGTCTAGTTTGCCTTCGTCCCTATATAGATTCTCAAGATTTTTGACAGTATCGAGGGTCGAGGTGTGGCCTGGTCCGAGCGATTTCTCGTACCCAGCTAGCGCCCGCTGATACATCTGCTCTGCTCGGTCCAGCTTGCCTTGATTCCGATATAGATTCCCAAGTCTGTTGACA